CAGTCCGACTTCGCAGTGTTTTTTTGCCTTTCAATTCCTGGTTGGCTTATCTGCGGGTCATATCATTTTCTTTTGTATTTCAATGGTCAAGTTAACACCTCGGCTTACTTACGAGGTCGGCTTATCCGCGGTCATATACGGTACATTAGATTTTTTACAGAAAACAGCACCACAGAAGGGGTATAATTGCCTCACTATGACTCATTCTCTGAAAACAGATTTAACTCATCGTGTATGGTTTTATTAGGCCCCCATCTGTGAAATTTTCTAAGCTTATGGAGCACTTATTACAACAAATACTGAAAAGATTGTATCAAAATATACACTATGAATCAGACAACTTTCAATGGTTAGAGTATGTACACATATCAAATGATACAGTGTTTAGAAACAGTTAATACATTGCCAGTTCTTCATTGTTTGATGTGAGCTGATGAAATAAAATATTGATGCAGATCATTTTCACTGGTCTCATTAATCTCATGTACATCTCAATGTGAGCTACATCTGACAGAAATAGAATCATGCCTTGAATGATTAATGGTACAACAAACTTAGGATGTGAGTATGCCATAGTGACACTCTCACCAGCTGATTGGGGCAACTGTGCTTCTATATGTCCCTTCACTTGCAGCTCTACAGCTGCATATTTGATCAAGTAATGGCTCCAATAGGTGAAAAGTTATGTATCACTTGATTAACTGCTGACTTGATCGACCTAGAATAAAGTAGTGTCTACACCATGCTTTGACTAGTGATTAGATATTATTGAAGCATGCATAGTTAAAATGTTATTAGCTGGGATTGAAATCTAGTGAGAATTGTAAAGTGGAAGGTGGACGCCACTTTATAAAGAAAATCTTCTGAAGGGGGACAGACTGATCCCAGGACTAACTTACTTGACTCTGGTTGTGTATGTAGATCCTGTTTTCTGCATACTGAAGTAAATATTACAATTTCAAAGTAAGGATGGTCAGTCAACATGAGACAAAACACTCATCCACATTTCTGCCGTTTTGTCAATCAATTTCAAGGGGGCACGGGTGGCCCAGTCGTCTAAGGCGCCGCGATTCGCTGTGCAGAGTTGCGTCCATTGGGCATGCCAGAAACCTATGATTGTGGGTTCGAATCCCGGTTTGCCCCGATTATGTTTCTAGGTTTGTCAGCACCATACCTGTGCTCGTGGGTTTCACCAAAGTGGTAAACGTCTGACCTGCATCACTTCGGGCTTTCCTCCCACATTAAGCTGACACGCCGCGATATAACTGGAATACTGTTAAAAGCGGCGTTAAACCCAACTCACTCACTCACTCACTCACTCACTCACTCACTCACTCACTCACTCACTCACTCACTCAATTTCAAAGGGAAACATTATTTGTGAATTAATTTCTGTGTAGATTTTAGTTTAAACGATACAAATTGGAACAAACCTTGTGATATATTTTTTACCCAGATAAAATATTGCAATTTGTATCATTTGATAAGCGTATTGCAGTATACCAATATGCCAGTAATTGCAAAACTTGTTATCACTTTGAACTTTTTCCCAAAGTCTAAGTGCTCATGTACCAAGGGCATTGTTATTGTGCTATATTCATAGTGCAGCTGTTCCTGCCTCAGTCTTGAGACTAAGAGTGTGAAAGAGTGATAAACAGGAGAGCATTTTAACCAAAGTATACACAGAGTTACTTCACTGTATCGAAAATCATTAGAAATACATCAAGGACTCTGTTTGTACAGAGCAGGCTCACATGTTTTGAGGCAGGCAAATAAGTGGATATAAAAATCTTCTTGTTTATTTTTCTAAGTAGGATGCTAACTTAGGGCAAGCAGGAGATGAGAAAGACACAAAAAATATATCTAAATATATTTATTAAGTGACTTCACTGATAGCATGTTGTTTTGCCTTGACAGTGAATTAATTGTTGATCATAATATTGATCACTGGGTTGTCTGGTCCTGACTTCAATATATATAGACTGCCATCATGAAGGTGGAATATTGATGAGTATGGCGTTGAACAACAAGCAAAATAAGAAACAAAATATGGACTTCTGGAACCTTTGGACAAATCTTTTTTGAAAGTTTGAATATACTGAAAAGGTATAAGTTTGACTGAGTGTGGCATTAAACGACAAACAAACATACATAGAGACAATTTCTCAGGTTCAGTACCTCTTGACAGGAAACAAGTACAGGGATTTGTGCAGAATCAGCCATATTTCAGCTGATTATTTTGAGACATTACTATGCGATATACCCGGTACCTTGTACGGATATACTACTCAAAAGAAGTTAAGAAACTGTTAAAGTCCACTAGTCCTTATAATGATGTCAATAGCAAAACCCTTGAAAATGGCAAATTTCTACTAGTCCTCAATATGATACCTTAACAATTGAGCAGTTTGGCAAGGACTACAAGACTAGTGCCAAATTCTAACACTGCTATTGTTAATCTGTCATGCCATGACCGATTAACCATAGTAATTTGAAAGAATCAAGTTTTCTTTAACTTCTTTTGAGTAATAAGTTAATGTGGGATACGTTTTCAAAATTCCTGTGGTATTGTGATACTGACTTAGAGACACCAACTTGCCATTCCTACTGTCATGGCCAACAGTTGATCTTTTCAATCTTACCTTGGTATCAATATTTGATAATTGTTCTTACTCAATTTCAAATGCATCTTAATGACTTGGAACCACTAGAGACTGTATTGCATGTCACTCATTCATGATCAGCTACACCTCATCTGATGTGGTGAAGACTATACCCTGACCAGTTTGTACTGGACAGAACTCTTGCACTCGGTTTCCTTGCTTGCTATATCTGACCTTAATTAGTTGAAAGTCACCTCAAACTTGACATTTTCTAGTAATATTACATATATGTATTATGATTTATGAAATCATATTATTTTTGTCAAAGTCAATGATTTGAATAAAATAACTGATAATGAATACTTATCAATCATTCAATGATTGTCATTGTCATTAATAAGTAAACTGCTATTTTCCAAGGCAGAACGGATGCCATGCTTGTCTTAAGACCAATCTCATAAAAATCATATCTTTTGCTTTGATACAATACATCTCCGCATGCTGATGTGAAGATACCGCCAGCGGAGGTCACGTCAGGTGAACTTTCTAACCAGCCAATCAACATAAAGATTCTTAATTTTACATTTCTATTGTGCAAACCATTCAGACAAGCACTGCATATTGAAACAAATATACCGTATTAGACATAATAAGTGCCCAGGGCGCTCTCAAAATTAGAAATAGGGGGCTCTCATTAGAATATTATTTTGGTGAAAAACAACAGAATTTATGCTACAGCCTGAAATGTTTATATACGACAGATATATCTTTCAGGAATTTAATTTCCCATAATTAAGGATGCATATAACACACGTATTATACACGAATAAATAAGTCTTGTGTACATTGATCAATCAGAAGGGGTGCTAATTCTGATTGTTCACTAGCCAATATATCAGCAAATATTGCAGTGGGCGCTTATTAGAGCGGGGCACTTATTATGTCGAATTCGGTAATTGAAGACTTCTAACTGCCAACAAATAAAGCATTGCCATTATACTGTTTTGTATATGATACACCATGTTGTTTATGAGCGGCATGGCATCTATGGGTGTACATTTGTAGGAATATTTGTGCTTTGTGTGGGGTCATTTGTATGTTACCAAATCAAGGTTGTAAAGAAATGAAACTGAATCGTTTGAGAAATCTGTCATTTGAATTGCTTCGGAAATCAAGCAGTCTTTATTTGCCTACTAGATCACAGTTTTAAGGAGAGGGTGGTTCCATTGTGTGACATGTTTGTCAACAATTGTGTCACATTGCAGATTGATGCTGTTGATAGTTGCTCATGCTATCAACCACAAGTTGTCAGGCCAAGACTTGATTATTTAGTATAGCTTGAATAGTGCTGACTGTCATGTATAAAAAACAGTCAATCACTAATCTCTGATAATCGACCCAATATGAGATGTAGGGTGTACACCTAAATGCATGTCAATTCAACATTATCCTGACTGACAACCTGCAACCACAACCACTACCAGAACCAAGGCTTTGATCTCGTCAATATCAATCAATCAGTCGTCAATAACCACACAGGAAACACAAATAGGAATATTGATGCATGGATCACAAATTAAATCAAGGCTGCGAGGAACTTTGCTGCTGTTCTTGTGGGGTTGTTCCATGATCTGGTGTTATCTTTGATGTTGAAATGATCAAGCAATTTCTGCAATGATTGAGATCATTTTATTTCATTTGCCAAACTTTGATGTCAGTTTCAACCTATTCCAGGTGCATGACATTAATATGTCATTAAGATTTTGCACATTCTGTTGTAACCGGTTTCATTTTAAAGGTGTCAATTAATTGTGATAATTTTGGAAACCATAGGAAATGAGTTTAGATGTTTGTCCAAAATTTCTTTTATGCAAATCTGTTAAATATCATGATTATGTTAGAAGTTTTAAAAAACAATATGGCTGTTTGAAAAACTCAGATACATTTGATTATTTTGTATCAGGTTTGTGCAGGTTGAGTTTTGTTAATGATTTTTCAGCATTAAACTCATTAGCTAAAAAAATACCGATTAAATCTTCAATAAGAAATTAATCAAAACCATGGTATGGGTGTCAAATATTAATCTATATCATATCGAAATTAACTTCAGCTTGATTGATTTCAAGCCATGACATTGAATACAAAGTAATCAAGCTTTGATCATTAGAAAGAAAAAAAATAATGAAATTTTTAGAAAGTTTTTAATAGTGTATTGATTCATTTGATAAAGCATATTGATCAGTATGAAGGCTATGGATTCTGCATTGTTACCAGAATAAAACTCCTCATGTGTGGCTGATTGAAGAAGGCAGTTGCGGGAGCAGCAAAAAGCTCTTATCCTTACAACATATTGAGAGAAAATTGTCCTCAGATTAATGCCATGGTGATATTTTCCAGACAACAAACTTCAGGAGGAACTGTTGCGAACCACTCAGCTGGTGTACAGTTATGAAGCTGGGAGAATGGTAAGTAGTAGACGAGGGAGGGAGGTAGACGAGGGAGGGAGGATGCAGGTAGGAAAAGCCAACAAATATTTGATCTTATTTTTTTGTCATGCAGTGTTTATCAAATACAGGTCATTGTGATATTGTTTGATGAAAAGAATAAACAAGCAAAAAGGATGTACTTGAAAGGATGCTTGACTTTATCAGGAGTTTCATAGAACCATGTTTGGCTACAGATATATCTCCCAGTGAAAATAGCTCCTACAATGTTCTTAAAAGGTTAAATACACAAACTTTGTGAATCCTTCATTTTATTAATGGACAATTCAAATGGGAATCAGATGTTTGTATTCATCAACTGCAGTTTATTAATATTTTTTAATTATGCATATCATAATGATGAATGTGTTATTTAGAAAAGAATTGTCTTTAGAAATAACACTGACAGCTCCTCCAATTTAACAGAGCTAATAACAAAATGAATTTGGGTGGCCTTATTATACATGAATAGAATCTGCAATATATTGTGATTTATGATTGGTCATAGTTCTTAAAAATATCAATCAGTTTTAGAGTTTCCTTTACAGAATGTCTATGATTTGCCTGAGAATGTTATCAATTTAACTGTGATGGTTTCTTTGTATTCTTTGGGAATTCCCCAAGGGTTAACATTTTGTGGATATCTTTTCTAGTGTATTGAGCCGCTCTCTCGAGAGAGAGAGAGGAAGGTCAGTGGTCACTTTATACCAAACGATGTTAAAAGATGGTACTTGTTCTTTCCCTCACTGGGGCTGTTTGGAAGAAAAGGAAGAAAGTTACCAAGAAAAGTATTCATATGCAGTGTATTTCCGGAAATTTTCAAGGATCAAATCTAATTTAACCATGTCTTTCTACCAATCAGATTGCAGTACACAATCAGTCATTTTACTTAATGACAATTCAAACCCTTATCCAGGTACCCAAACTACGAGAACCTCGTAATCTATATGCCCTGGCAAAGGAACCTGGCCCACAACAAGCCGCAAGATGGTAAGTGTCTAAAATGATTGATTTTTCTGAGGTTACAAGGAGTATTGGATGTGTGTTGATGGATGCTAATTGAACAGTTAACCTAGTGGTGTGGTTTGATTGCCTGATTGCTTGATTCTGTTTGTCACACACAAACAGACCAATATTGTAAGTGTTCATGCTTATCACTATTGACACTTATCATTCACATTTATTATAATTCACACTTATCATCATCATTCACACTTATCATTCACACCTGGCATCAGCCATACTTATAGGGTTGACTCCAGGAATTTTCTGACATGGGCCCTTTATATGAAAATTTCAAATATTCCAGAGGTACGCCCATACAGTACAATGCTAAAATGCCCCATTGTATTTGAAAATGTGGGCCTTTTTTCAAATGTAGGGGCTAAAAGCACAAGGCCCCACCCTAGAATTATCCCTGTGCTTATCACCATTCACACTTTTTGCAATTCACACTTATCATTCACACCTGTCATCATTCACACTTATCATCTTTCACATTTATTTCAATTCACACTCATCATCACAGAAATGTGTAGATCAAGTTTTTTGGCTTGTTGCCATAGATACATAAGATAAATAGATACATAAGCCTAATTCAACTGTAACAACAACCATGGCCTTGACAGATGTAGCAGCACAAGGAGAGCCAGGAACACTTGGTTTACCAAGCTCTTTGCCGACTATTGGTGTAGACAGTGCCTCTTACATGTAGCTGCTCTATTTGTTTGCCATTCTCTCCTCAATGGTGGACAGTAGGTGTGTTTATCATTAAATAACAAAAAATCAGAATGTAGACAAAATAATTGCAGTAAACATCCTATAGAACAGAGAACACTTAATACTTCTCAGTACAGATCTCATGGTGAGCAGGATGGTGGATTAGCCAAGTGGTTAAAGTGTTCACTCATGTTGAATGCCCGATTCTCGATAACTCACACTCATTGCTTTTAGCCCGATATTGCTAAAAGCAGGGTAACCCAAATGAACTCACTTACTCTCATGTTGCGCCTTTAGTAAGATGTCACTGTGTCTGACATTGTGTTTCCGATCCAGGCCCGCTGACCTTCAGGTCCAGGACAACAAGGTGAAACACATACGCTATGTGCCAACAGACCCAGAGACCTTCTACAAACAGAGTGAGTTGACATTCATTTGTAGCATTTCCCCCATGGGATTCAAGGTCAGAGTAGGTCCCCAGCAACCTATGCTGATCGTAAGGAGCATCTTCTTGAATCTGGTTGTCAGATTTGGTAACTTGATTGATACTGTAGCATCGTACCCTGATGGCATGGATCGTTGTCTATAATAACCATCACTGGATTGTCTGGTCCAGACATGTTTACGTACATTATGTGATATAGCTGAAATATTGCTGTAGCTGAAATATTGTTAAACAACAAAGAAAACAAGAAAAAAATATTTTACTTCTGTAACAAATTTGTTTTGAAAGTTTAAATATATATTCAAAATGAATAAGGTTTGCCAGGTCTGTATCACAAATATACCCTGCATTAAGTGCACGTGTGCCAGCACACACCACTCCTCACTGGTACAGTGTATTGTATCTCCATTATGATAAATATCCTGGACATGGTAACTACTAAAGCTGGACCACCTCCATTGTCTGGTGGATAGAGCATCTACCTGGTAAGTGGAAGGATGGTGGTTCAAACCCTGGCTGCTTCATACAAAAAGAAGATACAAAATTGTACTTTTTGTTTCCCTGCCTGGTGCTCGGTGTTAGGGGATAAAACGAGGACTGTCCATCCATGTGTGAGAGTAATTTCATTGGAAGTTGATGATGAGAGAGATGAAGATGTTGACATCATGAAGTTCTGGTAGTGAATGGGTGCAGTGTATTTTATCAAAATAGAGCTGATATTATTCAATTGATCACCAAGATTGGCACCCAACTTTTCGAAAGTCTTTGATTCTGTTCTTGCTGTAAGAATGCTTAATTTGCTGGTGATATGTTTTGTTAAGATTTAATCCCATCAATGTCCCCAGCTGGCCTAGAGAAGACGCCGATGGTGCGAGGTGAAGATGGTGGTGGCAAAGTCGTCTACAATTATGATCCAAAGAATTCTTTTGTAAGTTTTATGAATGACAATCAATCCAATATGTACAGGGGCTTAGCCCTTACATTCCATGCCAAATAACTTTTAGAAAAATATGTATACTGTATGTGTGGATAGATGACATGTATGAATAGAATCATTCATGAAAACTGGAGTCATTTTCATTGATCATAATAACATAAGAAAATAATTGACAGTAAGACTAGTGTTGTTGTGGTGCAACCTTTTTATTGTAGGTTAATGTATTGATAGTTTCCGTATTTTTATAATTGTTGTGAGAAAATTGGGTTTTCTACAAGAAGGTTGTGCATGCAACTGCAAATCCGATTGGCCCATTGTTATGTGTTAATCTTTCTTTATCACTATCTGTATCATATCACGTGTCGTACTGCATCGTGCCATATTTGTTCGATGTCAAGGTAACAATATGACTTTGTGTTCTGCAGTTTGTGCGGTCCCGTGTCGGGGGGTCAAGGACAGGCTGTGAGCAGGTCGGCTATATCCCCAAGTCTAAAGAGGACACCACCCTCGTTTTTGAGTCTCGGTTTGAGAGTGGGAACCTGGCAAAAGCTGTGCAAGTGTGAGTTATCAGCTCCATCTGTGATACAGTCTTCATGTCTGTTGAAAGATACTCAACAGTGCTTCTAACATCTTAGAGCGTCTGCCTGGAAAGCAGACGGTTGGTGGTTCAATCCCCTGGCGCCGTCATGACAAAATACATTTATAAGATTGTGTTTGTTTTTCCCTGTCTGGCACACGGCATTATAACGTATAAAACCAGGACTGGCTGGCAGTCAGTATAATGTGTCTGAGTAGCATATCTCTAGTCACTCCAGCATGGTATCTCAGTGGGCCAAGTCCAGACTTGTGAAAGCCGCTGCACACACATGCACACATGCACACATGCACACATGCACACATGCACACATGCCTGACCATTGATATGCAAGTGAAATCTTGGAACGCTATATTTAACCCCATTTTAACCTTGCTTTTAAACATCTTTTGTGACCTGAATTGGTCATTAACCCTCAGTCAATTACAAGGATGTTCTGTATTAAGAGTATTGAACTCTTTACAAGATAAATAATACTAAAATTTAGATAACATGCACTTAATGTCTGAAACTAATGAACTATAAAATACAAGGTTGCTGTGTATTTGTTGGTGTTTGACATAATTGTTAATTTGAGAAAAGTGAGGCCACTCGCTCAGTGGCTTAAAAAGATCATTGATAGCATTTGTCTTTTCTAGTGAAATTACTAACCTTCATGAAAACATCAATATTTCCAAATGATAGTGTGCTTATATTTTTAGTTGGGTAAAAGGGTGCACTTTCAATTTCTTTCAATTTCTTACCTGCATCCATGTAGTTTGGAGGCCTAGTTATATAATTCGGCTTACCAGTTGGCAATATTTGGAAAATATTTGCACATATTGCATCAAGACTTTGGGAACAATTCATAGCTCTAGTCAATGGACAGGCAAAAGGCCTCCAGCCCCAAATGCATACCAAACCATGATCATGATCATGCATACACATTTTATATCAGATTTACAACTAGGTGTATTTTTTATATTTACTTGATATAGAAATAAATACATGTCTGACAATATCAGTGCTCTCATAATAGAGTTATAATTTTTTAATTGTAAAATAGTTATGAATGTAATGCTGACTTTGGATTGTGTGTTTGGCAGTGGGGAATATGATTACGAGCTGTGGCTGCGCTATGACCTGTACACCAACAAACACACCCAGTGGTACTACTTCCGAGTCTCCAATACTCGAGCCAACGTCAAGTACAGGTTCACCATCGTCAACTTCATGAAGGTCAGTCTCGACAGTTTCTGACAGGACAGTTATCTTACAGTAATGTTAGCATTGTTGTGATGAGCATGACTGGTCATTAGCGTGATATTTATATTGTAATATTTAATCTGAATAGAGTTCAAAATGTTACTGAACTGTACCAGAAGATGGAGTGTACAATGTTTGTTTGTTTGTTTGTTGTTTAACGCCGCACTCAGCAATATTCAAGCCATATGATGGCAGTCTAAATAATCGAATGTGGACCAGACACTCCAGTGAATGATATCATGAGCATCGATCCACACAATTGGGATACAAAGACATGCATCATTGAAATCAGTGAGCTTGACCACCCGATCCTGTTAACCACAAGCCTGGGTGCTATATAGACCAATTCTATGAAACTTTAGTGTTACTTTGAATTCTCAGTATGAATGCAGAAAATGTTTGACGAAGGTCAAAGGTAATTAATTCATGTATATCCAGGTGAGCTACAGTGTATGTGGCATTGTTTTTATTTGTTTGTATTGTTTAGTCTAACTGACCAATTAAAAAAAAGAAAGGGTTGAGTGTGCATTTTATTGCGGTGGGTACCTGTAGACTTCCCACCAAGTTCACACTTTATTGTAGAGGCATACGTAGAAATAGTTTAACATGTTGACATATTCGCATAATAGTATACTCAACAGCATCAGAAAACATCATAATATCAAAGTCTCAGTTTTGGGGGTAAATAGATAAACATGCCCATTTCAGGTCACCGAATATTTAAGTGAGGTTATGTGAAGTGAAGTGGTGTCCCTCTGCCTGGTTGTCTGTCCATTGTTAACTTGTACCGTTTTTACCTCTACACTGAGCTTGAAAGGCCTATGGAGCTGAAACTTTACAAGAATGATCCAAGCTGTGGAGTCTCTAAAAAATTCTGATCCTGAAATTTTTGTGATTGTGAAATTTCATTTGCAACAAGTATATGGTATGAGGAATAACATGAAATGATCATTTGGATATTTGATTATTTGATTATTCTATGACCTTTAACCTCACATAACCCCATTTGTCTAGTGTTACTGCATATTTCACACCTCCTAAAACTACAGCTCCCATGAAGCTGAAACTTTGTATATATGATCCTCACTATGGCATCTCGAAGAAGTGCACACACAATTTCAATCTGATTTCAAACATGGTTGCCAATATTTCCTCACACATCAGGTGAGCTACAGAGCCTAGTTGCTCTATTTTTTAAACCTGGCTGCCACTATTTCCTCACACATTGGGTGAGATACTGAGCCTAGTTGCTCTATTTTTTAAACATGACTGCCAATATTTCCTCAAACATCAGGTGAGCTACAGAGCCTAGTTGCTCTATTTTTTAAACATGGCTGCCAATATTTCCTCATACATCAGGTGAGCTAGAGAGCCTAGTTGCTCTATTTTTTAAACATGGTTGCCACTATTTCCTCAAACATCAGGTGAGCTAGAGAGCCTAGTTGCTCTATTTTTTAAACATGGCTGCCAATATTTCCTCATACATCAGGTGAGCTAGAGAGCCTAGTTGCTCTATTTTTTAAACATGGTTGCCACTATTTCCTCAAACATCAGGTGAGCTACAGAGCCTAGTTGCTCTATTTTTTAAACATGGCTGCCAATATTTCCTCATACATCAGGTGAGCTAGAGAGCCTAGTTGCTGTATTTTTGCTCAGAGCTGTTGGCAACCATGGTGGCAGAGTTTGGGCAAGGAAAGATAACTCTCCTGTTAATGTGGACAATTTGAACCAGACGTATGATATAAAAACAGATTTGTTACATCTAAAAAGTATTGTCCAGATCAGAAACATTTTTTCAAAGTTCCATGGCTTTTTTGTCAACCAACGAAATACAAATCGAAGAAATGAGGTTTCACTGTTTTTTCAAATGATTGTTATTTGAATTTGTAGCCTGACAGTTTGTACAACTACGGTATGAAGCCCCTGATGTACAGTGAGAAGGATGCACTGCAGAGGAAGGTGGGATGGGTACGATCTGGCATGGACATCAAGTATTACAGGAACAACCTCAGGTAGGTACAGCTTTAGTGGTCATCACTCTTGGAAACCGTCTTCGTGATGTAGTGGGCAGTGTGTCTGCTGGATAGCTGAAGGTCGGTGGTTTGATACCCTAAGCGTGTCAAACCCAAAGTAATAAAAAGATGGTACTTGTTGTTACCCTGCCTAGCAATCGGCATTAAGGAGATAAAACAGCAGACTGAGCAAAGATGAGAATATTTTATCATGTTTCTGATAAATAGAGAATAAGAAAAAATTGCTAAGGTTATGAGACACGTTTACCCTAAAACATTTAATCCTATCATTGTTTGGTACTTACTTACTGGTACATCTATATACCGTATTTGCTGTAATAGGTCCCCTGCACGCTTAGAAAATTGACATGTGGGGGCACTTATCAATATCATAAACAATGAGTTAAATGTGATCCAGCATAAGTAAACAAACAGTTCAGAGGTCGATGAATTACATCTTTTACTATAATAGTTATTTGGCAATTATATAACCCTTCTATGCTTCTGTTTTCTGTAATATAGACAAGAAAATTTTATGTATTTCAGTGTATTTCACTGTGCAGAGTTGCATCCCATAGATGTAACAGAAACCTGTGATCTAAACATCTAACACCTGCATCACTTTGGTTTTTCCTCTCGCATCAATCTGACACACCATGAAACACTATTCAAAGTAGCATTAAATACATCTCACTCATTCAGAAAGAAGTATATTTATGTATGGGCCAATGTAATCAATGTTCTGTGTTTAGATATGACACTTCAAGAGGGGACCGGCCATTCTACTCCCAGACATGGGTTGTTCAAATGAATCACAACCATGACACTGTGTACTTCTCCCACTGTTACCCCTACACCTACACTGACCTACAGGTGAGACACTGTGTACTTCTCCCATTGTTACCCCTACACCTACACTGACCTACAGGTGAGACACTGTATACTTCTCCCACTGTTACCCCTACACCTACACTGACCTACAGGTGAGACACTGTGTACTTCTATCACTGTTACCCCTACACCTACACTGACCTACAGGTGAGACACTGTGTACTTCTCTCACTGTTACCCCTACACCTACACTGACCTACAGGTGAGACACTGTATACTTCTCCCACTGTTACCCCTACACCTATACTGACCTACAGGTGAGACACTGTTCATTTCTCTCACTGCTACACCTACACCTACACTGACCTACAGGTGAGACACTGTGTACTTCTCCCATTGTTACCCCTACACCTACACTGACCTACAGGTGAGACACTGTGTACTCCTCTCTGCTACACCTACACTGACCTACAGGTGAGACACTGTGTACTTCTCCCACTGTTAGCCCTGCACATACACTGACCCACAAGTGAGACACTGTGTGCTTCTCCCACTGTTACCCCTACACCTACACTGACCTACAGGTGAGACACTGTGTGCTTCTCCCACTGTTACCCCTACACCTACACTGACCTACAGGTGAGACACTGTGTGCTTCTCCCACTGTTACCCCTACACCTACACTGACCTACAAGTGAGACACTGTATAGTTCTCCCACTGTTACACCTACACCCACCTACACGTGAGACACTGTGTACTTCTCCTACTGTTACCCCTACACCTACACTGACCTACAAGTGAGACACTGTATACTTCTCCCACTGTTACCCCTACACCTACACTGACCTACAGGTGAGACACTGTGTACTTCTCACTGCTACACCTACACTGAGCTCCAGGTGAGACACTGTGTACTCCTCTCACTGCTACACCTACACTGACCTACACGTGAGACACTGTGTACTTCTCCCACTGTTACCCCTACACCTACACTGACCTACAAGTGAGACACTGTATACTTCTCCCACTGTTACCCCTACACCTACACTGACCTACAGGTGAGACACTGTGTACTTCTCACTGCTACACCTACACTGACCTACAGGTGAGACACTGTTCATTTCTCTCACCGCTACACCTACACCTACACTGACCTACAGGTGAGACACTGTGTACTCCTCTCTCTGCTACACCTACACTTACCTACAGGTGAGACACTGTGTACTTCTCCCACTGTTACCCCTGCACCTACACTGACCTACAGGTGAGACACTGTGTATTTCTCTCACTGCTACACCTACACTGACCTACAGGTGAGACACTGTGTACTTCTCTCACTGCTACACCTACACTGACCTACAGGTGAGACACTGTGTACTTCTCTCACTGCTACACCTACACCTACAGGTGAGACACTGTGTACTCCTCTCACTGCTACACCTCCATTGAACTACAGGTGTGACACTGTGTACTTCTCTCACTGCTTCACCTACACCTACACTAACCTACAGGTGAGACAATGTGTACTCCTCTCACTGTTACCCATACACCCAACGACCCCTGAAGATCCGGGTTAGAATAGGTCTTCAGCAACCAATGCTTGCCGTAAAAGGCGACTTTGCTTGTCGTAAGATTTGATCTCAGCAATATCTATTGTATGTGTTAATTTGGATTTGTTTTATCAATACAGATAGAGCATAGAAAGTGTAAGTTTGATTTACACCTATAATTATTTGTGTACATGGTTAGTTACATTCAACCTTTACTGTGTTGTCACAGGGCTATCTACTGGAGGTGAGTAACGATCCCATCAAGTCCCGAATCTGTAAACAACGGGTCCTGTGTCGGACCCTGGCCGGAAACCTTGTGTATGTCCTCACCATCACATCACCCTCACAAAACCCAGAAGACATCAAGGTAATAGTCTAGACAAATGTTTTCTGAGCATCTTAAGGTGTATATTTCTAATTACATTGAATACATCTCTGCTTGCTCTAAATCTTTCAAAACTTGTAAAATAAATTCACCCAAAGTGATTAAGATTTTGAGGTGTTAAACAAGAAAAGAAACTCAGCTGTAGAATAGGAACTCAAGAGAATGCTGTGGTAACTTATCCCCTTTCTTGAGTGCCTCATTGGAAGCCTATCTGATTGTAGAGTTTGAGAAAGAGTGAGTGAATGAATGCTGTTTTATGCAACAGTCAGCAATGTAAGTCATATTACAGCAGCGTATTAATAATTGTGTCCTGAACAGACAAACCAGTGGTTAATATTGTGATCAACATGCCACATCATCAGTCTACAATGACTTGCGATCAACTAAGTCACCAATACTATGCCTGACCAATCCAATTTAGTTGCCTCGTACAGACACGTAGGATGATGGGGAACAATTCTATCCCCGAATACCCACATTGATAAAGATTTTTGGTTGATTTTCGGGCCACTATGCAAAAACAACATTCAAAATATATTCTACCTATTCCAGCACAAGAAAGCAGTGGTTGTGACATCTCGGGTACATCCAGGAGAAAGTAACTCTAGCTGGATGATGAAGGGCTTCCTCGATTATCTCACTGGCAACTCTGCTGATGCCAAGGTAAGACACAGCCGTTTTCTTTCAGCATCCTACAGATGTCTGTGTGTTTTAATTTAATTGGGTTCCTTGGAGAGAAAGTCATCAATGGCTTACAACATGTTTATATATTTGTCTTGATGCCACTATATTCATTTTCATGATGCACATCTAACCTTCATCATTATGTGTTTTGTTTTTAAAAAATTATCTGTAACAAACACTTGTGTGTATTGCAGCTGTTGCGTGATACATTCATCTTCAAGATAGTGCCAATGTTGAACCCTGATGGTGTGATAGTGGGCAACTATCGCTGTTCCTTGGCTGGGAGGGACCTCAACCGTAACTACAAGACGGTGCTCAAAGACTCCTACCCCTCTGTGTGGCACACCAAGAACATGATCAGAAGGTGAGTATTAGTCTACTTAGAAAATTCACTCCTTAATATACTTGAGGATACAGACTATGACTTTTCACGGACCAGTAGAGTTCAGATGACTATGACTTGTCACGGACCAGTGAAGTTTAGATGACTACGACTTGTCACTTGCCAGTGGAGTTCAGATGACTACAACTTGTCACGGGCCAGTAGAGTTCAGATGACTACGACTTGTCACGGGCCAGTAGAGTTCAGATGACTATGACTTGTCACGGGCCAGTAGAGTTCAGATGACTACGACTTGTCACGGGCCAGTAGAGGTTCAGATGACTATGACTTGTCACAGGCCAGTAGAGTTCAGATGACTACGACTTGTCACTTGCCAGTGGAGTTCAGATGACTACGACTTGTCACGGGCCAGTAGAGTTCAGATGACTACGACTTGTCACAGGCCAGTAGAGTTCAGATGACTATGACTTGTCACGGGCCAGTAGAGTTCAGATGACTACGACTTGTCACAGGCCAGTAGAGTTCAGATGACTATGACTTGTCACAGGCCAGTAGAGTTCAGATGACTATGACTTGTCACAGGCCAGTAGAGTTCAGATGACTATGACTTGTCACAGGCCAGTAGAGTTCAGATGACTATGACTTGTCACAGGCCAGTAGAGTTCAGATGACTACGACTTGTCACAGGCCAGTGGAGTTCAGATGACTACGACTTGTCACAGGCCAGTGGAGTTCAGATGACTACAACTTGTCACAGGCTAGTAGAGTTCAGATGACTACGACTTGTCATGGACCAGTGGAGTTCAGATGACTACGACTTGTCACAGGCCAGTGGAGTTCAGATGACTATGATGTTGCATGGACCAGTGGAGTTCAGATGACTAGGACTTGTCACAGGCCAGTTGAGTTCACATAACTAAAACTTGTCATGGAGCATATTTGGGTTCAGATATCTGTAACCTTTAGTGTATGTAGTTTTTGTTAAAATGTTTATCTATTTGAATACTGATGGGGATGACTCATAGTTTACAGTTTTGCCCATCCTGCTTGCAGGTTGCTGCAAGAAAGGGAGATAATCGTGTACTGTGATCTTCACGGACACAGCAGGAAGCAGAACGTCTTCATCTATGGCTGTGAGAACCGACACAACCCGGGTCGCAGACTCCGGGAGAGGATATTCCCCTGCATGCTCAGCAAGAACGCTCCAGACAAGGTTAGTACAGGAATACTGATGGGGGAAAAAAATCATGAGGATGTTGAAAATATAGTTTCATGCAAGGTTCATATCATGGATGAAATGCACATGTGCTGATGCCACAACATTAAGACACTCGATCTTTCTGCCTTTAAGGGTAACCTAATCAGTTATAATGTTTTACAGTGTAAGGTTGGAAAGGTGGGATAGCCTAGTGGTTGAAGTGTTTAATGATTCACCATGTGCGGGATACAGTGAATAATGCCATGCCATGAGTGTGTAGTGAGTGAGTTGTGTTTTACGCCACTTTGAACAATACTAGTATTTCAGTTGTATCATGGCATCAGCATAATCAGTGTTGGAAATTAAGGTCATGGGGTTCTTGAAGTGTTCTATAGTACTGGAATCTAGGACACCCTAAATATTAAATTTTATGACAGGGTTATGACAAGGGCCCCTTGACTTTCATGCTTAACTGAGTTAATGTGAAGGCAAAAGCCAAAAATGGTGTTGATGCAATGACCTGTGTGGGTCAGGAGGTTACAGTGTATGACCTAGCATGTTGCATGTCATCATGGATCATTGTTTATGCTATCAGCCAATAGTCTAGTCTTGTTCAGACACTGTTGTTTACATGTAAGTTGGCGAGATACAGATAAAATATTGCTGTCTGTTGAATAAAAAAACATTCACGCCCCCTTACTCAAAGTTAGTTGGGGTGTTGAATCTAAATAAGAATTTGTGGGCAAATGATGTGAGCCACATTGTGTGGGTGATGCCATGTTGTCATTGATTGGCCTGTTTGTATTTCAGTTCAGTTTCAACTGCTGCAAGTTCAAGGTCCAGAAGAGCAAGGAGGGGACGGGGAGGATTGTGATGTGGAACATGGGCATCATGAATAGCTACACACTCGAGGTGAGTGGTGGGGAGGTGCATCATGACCAGCTACACTAGAGATGAGTGGTGGGGAGGTGCATCATGAACAGCTACACTGGAGGTGAGTGGTGGGGAGGTGCATCATGAACAGCTACACTAGAGATGAGTGGTGGGGAGGTGCATCATGAACAGCTACACTAGAGATGAGTGGTGGGGAGGTGCATCATGAACAGCTACACTGGAGGTGAGTGGTGGGGAGGTGCATCATGAACAGCTACACTAGAGGTGAGTGGTGGGGAGGTGCATCATGAACAGCTACACTAGAGGTGAGTGGTGGGGAGGTGCATCATGAACAGCTACACTAGAGGTGAGTGGTGGGGAGGTGCATCATGAACAGCTACACACTAGAGGTGAGGGGTGAGAAGTGCATCATGAACAGCTACACACTAGAGGTGAGGGGTGAGGAGGTGCGTCATGAACAGCTACAAAATATTGGGGCGGTGCATCATGAACATCTGGTTATTAGTGGTGAGGGGCGGGGAAGTGCATCATGAACAGCTACTCTAGAGGCCCTGTAGTAACACGTGTCCCCAGCACCCTTTTGCGACCTGTAACAGGCAACTCAACTGGGGATTCCAGGTTACAATTGCTCTCTGCAACCTATGCAGGTTGTAAGAGGCAACTTAATGGATCGGCTGGTCAGGCTCAGCGACTTGTTTGATGGCACTCAATGGATTTATTGTTTTCTATATTCTGTAATAATGGAATGAAAAGATTGATAAGCATTTTTTAGGGTTTTGATATTGACACACTCCATCATAGATTATCATAGTGGGATATAAGTTTCATGATATGGTTCCCATCCTGAGGTAAGTGTATGTGTATCACAACACACCCAGTGACTAGACCACAAAACTGGATTTTCTTCACTCTACAGTAATTTTAACACTCAATTTGTTTTTTTCAGGCAACATTTGCTGGCTCTACAATGGGCAAGAAGAAAGGCTTCCATTTCACCATGGCTGACTATGAGTCTATGGGCTACCATTTCTGTGATACTCTGCTGGACTTCTGTGATCCTGACAATACCAAAGTAGGTGCCTTTCACAGAATCTCTAGTAGCCTCCAGTGTCTTGCAGTGTTGGTGCTGAAAATGTTGACATTTTTTTGCATCATCTTTTGACATTAATGTGGCTGCATGTTATGATGAATGACGAAGATTAAATGAAAAGTGTACCCATTAATTATCGTGTGGGTGTACGTGTGTGCGCGTGTGTGTGTGCATGCGTGCGTGCGTGCGTGCGCGTGTATGTGCATGCGTGTGTGTGCGTGCGTGCGTGCGTGCGTGCGTGTGTGTGTGCATATATAACTTTGGAAACCCTTTCATTCATCTTTTGAGACTCCAAACAAATATTATCAGAATGGAATTTATCCTTCTTCAAAGATAGTAAAAGAAGTTTCTCAATATCAAGTATATGTTAGAAAGATAAATTTCTTGCTTATCTTTTATCAGTCTGTCTTGTGAGAAAATGTGCCTTCCTTAGGGACCTGTCATTTATTATATGTTGTTGGGTAGGGGGTAGTGTAGGTTTTTGAAATAGTGATCAAGCATGTCAATCGGGAAGGTTGCAGATGAAGCAGACACATTGGTAAATCTCAACCCCTAGATGACAGGTCCCTAGAAGTATTTGTTGTATGTATAAACCATGTACGTAAGCTTATTCACACTGCAGATGTGTGCACTGTGGAATATTTTCACATGTAATATTGTGTAATCATCATGTTCATGTTATTCATCTTTATGAAATTGTTCCCAATGAACTTGTCCCAATGTGGCTGAGATATGGCCAGTGGTATGTAATATTGTAACTCCCTATTCCCCAGTGAGAATGTTGGGTAAGAAATGGCCTGATGGTTGTGAGAGACAGCTGCAATGTGAATTGGATGGTCACAGTATCTGCATAAATGATTCGTGTGGATTGAGTATCCACATACACTCATTTTCAGCTGTAATCTCCTTGATACTGTGTCAAAGTAGGGCTCTGACAGTCTTGGGGGTGAGAGTTAGGTGGACATGAGTACCTGACCAGGGGTCTTCGGGGTTAGAGTTACGTGGACACGAGATCCCGTCCAGGGGTCTTCAGGGTCAGAGTTAGGTGGACAGGAGTACCCGACCAGGGGTCTTTGGGGTCAGAGTTAGGTGGACAGGAGTACCCGACCAGGGGTCTTTGGGGTTAGAGTTAGGTGGACAGGAGTACCCGACCACGGGTCTTCGGGGTCAGAGTTAGGTGGACAGGAGTACCCTACCAGGGGTCTTCGGGGTCAGAGTTAGGTGGACAGGAGTACCCGACCAAGGGTCTTCGGGGTCAGAGTTAGGTGGACAGGAGTACCCGACCAAGGGTCTTCGGGGTCAGAGTTAGGTGGACAGGAGTACCTGACCAGGGGTCTTCAGGGTCAGAGTTAGGTGGAAAGGAGTACCTGTCTAGGGGTCTTTGGGGTCAGAGTTAGGTGGACAGGAGTACCCGACCAAGGGTCTTCGGGGTCAGAGTTAGGTGGACAGGAGTACCCGACCAAGGGTCTTCGGGGTCAGAGTTAGGTGGACAGGAGTACCTGACCAGGGGTCTTCAGGGTCAGAGTTAGGTGGAAAGGAGTACCTGTCTAGGGGTCTTTGGGGTCAGAGTTAGGCGGACTAGACTATCCAACCAGGTGTCTTTGTGGTCAGAGTTAGGTCGACTTGAATACCCGACCAGGGGTTTCACGCTCAGGGTTTGGTGGACTCTAGTACCCGACCAGGAGAGAAAACTCCAATATTCTCTTCTCTAACATATGTGTTACATGGATGCTAAGTGTGGCATGTTGGTTACTCTAGTCGTTTTGAGACACACTCAAGTCCATATTTACCCCAACAGATATTCCTGATATCTGATATTGTTTCATTGTGTCTAACAATATCATGGCGTTTATTTTCATCTGTACCAATGAATGCGAGGAGTAATAACATAATATTAATGGTAATAGTAAGTCTTTCTGTGCTGTCTTCCTCCTTCACCTCCTAAATCACTTGACACAATTATTTTCCCAATTTCTGCATACCTCATTTCAAATTACATACACCTGGATTCATTTCAAATTTTTGTCACATTTCTAAGCCATGAAAAACACCTTTCTGCATGGAATGAAATGTATGACTTTATGATTCAGTTAGGTATGTTGTCCCCATGTTAAAAACAACATGCATTGTGCTGACACTGTTAGCTTGTGATGCAATATGTATCAGGGGCAAAAAAATATCTGGATCTGTCTCTAATTATTATTATGATAATTATTATGAAATGGAATACATGGGGGACACTTTAAACAAACAAACATTTTGAAACATCAAACATTTAAAACTTGTAACAGTATGCTATCCATAAATTATCTCTACTTTGAAACAGTAATATGTTGTCTTAAGATGAGGCTGTCTCCAGAGAAAGGTTTAGTGGATTTGGAACTACCAGTGATGAAAAATGAAATATATCTCTGATTTCACATACTTCTAAAAATTTAGTTTTGAAATTATCTAGAATTATTCTGAAGCATGATCATTTTCAAGATAATGTATGTACAATGTGTGAAGCCCATTTCTGGTGTCCCCCCCTGCTGTGGTATTGCTGGAATATTGCTTAATATCGGCATAAGACCATAATCACTCACTCACTCCAGCTGTTCACAATGCATGCTACATACCTGGTATGTCATTACTATCAAAATATATAATATCACATAACTTTCCACAAACACATGTATTCTGTATTCTATGCTATACCACTCAAGTCTTCTGATAGGGGACTATGAAGATCAGGGTTAGAATTGGCATTTAGCAACCCATGCTTGTTGTAAGATGGTATGGGGCGGTTAGGCTAGCTGACTTAAATGATGCATGTGATCATATCCCAATTTCGTTGATCAACATTCATGATATCAATCGCTGGATTGTCTTGTCCACGCTGAATTATTGTATAGACCACCGTCATCATAGCTGGAATATTGCTGAGTGCGGTGTTAAACAACAACAACAACAGAAATCTGATAGTATTCCTATCATTTATGATACACTCAACTCATTATTTACTATATTTATGGAAATAGTAATAATATATAATGAATTTGTGAGACCCAATTTTCCATGGGCCTTTGTTATAAATACCATGAATATGGATTGTTTGAATTACCTGTGGGATTGTATCTCAGTAACAACTGAAGAAAATTGACATTAAGATTACCGTACTTGTATTTCATCTTACATCTCATCTTTGTCACTTTTTATTTCAATGTTTCATTTTTATCCTGTCATTTATATGTAAGACTCAGATCCATGGTGAGCTTCAGATTCATGCTAGATTCTCAGATATGTACCTTGTATCAAATTGTCCACAGATTATTTTTTATTTGAGTTTGTTATTTATCACCGCACTCAGCAATATTCCAGCTGTATGATGGTGGGCTGTAAATAATCAAGTCTGGACTAGACAATCCAGTGATCGATATTATGTCCAATGATCCACACATTGCACTCAACCAAGTAATCCCCACCATTCTGTTGCTGGTTGTAAGAGGCAACTGTATTGGATGGCCGGGCTCTGTGACTTGTTTCATTGTGCCCCAAAACCTGGGACATTGCTCATATTATCAACCTCTGGTTTGTCTGATCCAGACTCAAGTATAGACAGGCAACTGGGATATAGCAGGATGTTTCTAATCCTATGGACATGAAGTTATATATATTTTGGACAAGAATTACACCAACTTAAAGGATTTGAGATAACCATAATTCTGAGTCTTATATATATATATATTTGCACGTGTGCATTATTTGTAGACAGAATGTTGTGGCTGCATCTATTGGTTAATCATTTAAATTTGATAAAGAATGGATTTTGTTTACTTATTCCTGTTTTCATATCCTGTTTCCTGATATGCTAAAATATGAAGGCATTACGTTATCAGAAGTAATTATTTGCTGTTTGTTCATTGTCCTATAATGGCAGTTTGCCCCATCACATTACCTTGGCTGACCGGTAGACATTTTCACTGCATCCTCACATTATCTGAATTTGTAATACACTGAGCATGATAATTCTGTGTTTACTGTATTATGGTTAGGTGAAAGTGATGATATTAACTGTGAGTGAAGTGTCTCGTCTTTTAATGAATGCCTTCATTTAAGATTTGAATTGATTAAAAAATTATATTTTAAAATTAATTCTCGTATCATAGTGGTTGTTCTTATTTTGTAGGAAAAAACCATCTGCTACCATAAATATATAATATATATACCATGAGCAATTTGATTTCTATTCTGTTATTTAAGTTCATTATTGCTAGAAGAAAATAACGATTGCCACCAGCTACTTGCTTGTCACAAACATAATCCATAACACAATTAGTCCCTTTGTTGTGCACTTTGGAGCCTGAAGCTGATGATGTATATTTCAGTGTGGCAACATTCTTCTTGACTTGGAGGAGAGACTGAGATTGGAGATCATGACAAAGATGGAGAAGGAGGGACTCGCTCCTGGAGATGTGGATCTCTCAGACTTCTCCTCGGACATGGAATCAAGGTAAAACACTGGCTAAAATGTAGCCATTAGCTTGAGTATTGAAACGTGCCCTGAGATTTCATCAGTGGTCAGGAAGTAGAGGCTTTCCGTTGGTTTAAAACTGAGGATCAAAATTTTATGTGTTAGGAACATTTTTTAAAAATAATCTCTTGATTAAAGTGTCCAGTGGTTAGTAACATGAGCAAAGAATCTTACTATTTTGTTTTGCTGATTCCATCTGACGGGTTCAGTGATTTATCTATGATTCAAAACTAAGTGACCTTGACAGCCAAATTGGAAAAATATAGAAATATTTTTTTCAAAATTGGGACTTTTAGACATCACTTATTTTCTTAAATTAGGAGATATTTTAACATTGCATTCAACATATTAAATGCAATAGTAACCGGAGAAGATCCAGGTTAGAATAGGTCTTCAGCAACCCAGGCTTGCCATAACAGATGACAACGCAACTAACAAGATTGGCTGGTCAGGCTCACTGACTTGGTTGATGTATGTCATCTTATCCCATTTGTGTAGGTCAATGCTCATGATGTAAATCACTGGATTGTCTGGTCTTGACTCGATTGTCTACACACCGCCATCATATGGCTGGAAATTACTGCGGCTTTAAACAACAAACAAATGCAAAAGTGTAAAAAAATAAGTACTAAAGCATCATTGATCCTCTTTATTGGTCCTGTTATCAGTAAAATTCAAGTCACGTCAACCAAACTAATAAATTAGTTATAAAAGCATGAATTGGAAAATTTTAATTCCAATTTGGGAATTTCTACTGGTATTGGTTGAGTAGCTTCAGAGCAGATCTAGAGTCATCCTTGATGTTAATTTTTATGACCATCATGCTCTAAATGAGGTTTTACAACACAGGAGTAATCTATGTGGTTACACTTTGATTCTGTACCTCATGCGAATTCCAGGACAGAATAGATACCAAAAACACCATGCTTGTATTAGAGCTGACTAATGAGTATCAGATGGTTCAAATGTGTGGCCTGGCCGATTGTGTGTCATTGTGCACTAATAGCATGGATTGTTGCTCATATTATTGACCACTAGTGATGGTGGTTCTGGTGTGTACAGGGTTGTGTATGTTTCAGTGATGGTGGTTCTGGTGTGTACAGGGTTGTGTATGTTTCAGTGATGGTGGTTCTCGTGTGTACAGCGTTGTGTATGTTTCAGTGATGGTGGTTCTCGTGTGTACAGCATTGTGTATGTTTCAGTGATAGTGGTTCTGGTGTGTACAGGGTTGTGTATGTTTCAGTGATGGTGGTTCTGGTGTGTACAGGGTTGTGTATGTTTCAGTGATGGTGGTTCTTGTGTGTACAGGGTTGTGTATGTTTCAGCGATGGTGGTTCTGGTGTGTACAGGGTTGTGTATGTTTCAGTGATGGTGGTTCTGGTGTGTACAGGGTTGTGTATGTTTCAGTGAAGGTGGTTCTGGTGTGTACAGGGTTGTGTATGTTTCAGCGATGGTGGTTCTGGTGTGTACAGGGTTGTGTATGTTTCAGTGATGGTGCTTCTGGTGTCAACAGGGTTGTGTATGTTTCAGTGAAGGTGGTTCTGGTGTGTACAAGGTTGTGTATGTTTCAGCGATGGTGGTTCTGGTGTGTACAGGGTTGTGTATGTTTCAGCGATGGTGGTTCTGGTGTGTACAGGGTTGTGTATGTTTCAGTGATGCTGGTTCTCGTGTGTAAAGCGTTGTGTATGTTTCAGTGATGGTGGTTCTGTTTCAGTGATGGTGGTTCTGGTGTGTACAGGGTTGTGTATGTTTCAGTGATGGTGTTATGGTGTGTACAGGGTTGTGTATATTTCAGTGATGGTGGTTCTGTGTCAGTGATGGTGGTTCTGGTGTGTACAGGGTTGTGTATGTTTCAGTGATGGTGGTTCTCGTGTGTAAAGCGTTGTGTATGTTTCAGTGATGGAGGTTCTGTTTCAGTGATGGTGGTTCTGTTTCAGTGATGGTGGTTCTGTTTCAGTGATGGTGGTTCTGGTGTGTACAGGGTTGTGTATGTTTCAGTGATGCTGGTTCTCGTGTATACAGCGTTGTGTGTGTTTCAGTGATGGTGGTTCTGTTTCAGTGATGGTGGTTCCGACAGTTCTGTGTCCGATGGCCCTCCTGTACACCTCCAGTTTGCTGCAGCCAGAGTAAGTACACAGAACTTAGCAGAACAACAGAGTTGGCCATGAGAGTCCAAAAGAATTACACAATTAACAGTCGTCCAGGATTCTTAAATATAGAGATACTTGACCATGTCTAAAGTAAAATCTTCCAAATGTAAGAAAAATATTGCCAGTTGTCAAGCATTTGAACATGTCTGATAAGTTTCAAATATTTAAAGGTTCTCAGTAACTTTTAAATTGGAGGAACAATAAAAACAATTTAAAAAAAACAAAAAACTTTTAAATTGGAAATTTCCAGTCAGTCAAAAAGGGCTTTTTCATGCTCAACCTTTGACCTGATTTTAACCTTTGGGCTGTTTTACCACACCCGTGCTGGTGGGTTTCACTACAGGTGTAACCCTTGACAACCTGTACTACTTTGGGCTTTCCTATCCCATTGAGCTGACACTACAAGGACAATGAAAGTCCTGGCTTCTAGAAACACTTTAGGTATTTACATCAGCGTTGGACCTTATTGTATGTGATGTTGTTTTTTTTAATTTCCAGATGAAGAAAGAGCTAGAAGCAGTAGTATGTTTTCTTGTCGTAAACTTAACTATAAGGGCTTAGAATTTCTGAAGTTTTGTCTTAGATTAATGTCAGGTAGAAATGTATCTGTTTGCTTCAACAGATCATTAACATGTTTAACAGGTAGAATGCTTGTGAGATGACAAGAGTTGTATAAAGCATAGAAGACATTTAATAGATTGAAATGGTGGCCCAGTTGTCTACATCTTCCCGAGGCAAGCGTGTCCACTAGCCTATATCAAAGCCTAGTTCCTACCCTTGCCACATCAAGGCCACTTTTCTTGGCTTGACCCTGGTGCCACCTCGCGTAAATCACAAGTTGTGCCCCTTGTTATGAAAATATGATATCCAATCAGATCACTGTCCTTATCTTGTATAGCTTTACAAAGATGGCGACTACCATAGGCAACAACCTTGTCAATGAGATAACAAAAGCATTCGCGATTTCATCCCCGACACAAAATCATAGGCAATCGTTTTTCAATGAAAAAGACGTGTCAACAAAGACAGGCAGCGGTAAATCTCTTTTATTTGAAGGTGTACCAGTCTTGGATGTTGATTTTGTGAAACGTTCTCTGATTGGACTATTGATATGTGCATTAGTCCAATCATATTTAGCGCAGAAAAGTGATGTGGCAAGGGTGGAAACAAGACTTTGATAGAAAGGCTAGTGGACGCTCTTGCCTCGGGAAGATGAGTTGTCTGAGGTGTGTGAGAGTTGTGTCCCTTTGCTGCCAGGATCCACTGGTCATGGGTTTGAATCCCAGATTCTCCCCAGGCGCGAACCTTGGCCGACCAGCAATCATTCATTATGGAGCTTACCAAAGTGGTAAATGTCTGTGTCCTTTGTAACTTTGGGGCTTAAACCAAACTCGACTCTTTCTTCCTGTTTAAAATAATGGCTATTTGATTTTAGTGGATATAATGGCTATTTTATTTCAGTGTAGTATCTAGATTGTACCATCATTTAAGTGAGACTTTTTCTGCAACGTGATATCTCTTCAAAAGAGGTCATGTTCGCGGAACTTTCTTATCAGCTTGGAAATATCTAAGCTCATGATACGAGTAAGCAAAGCTTTCAGAACAATGTATCTGATATCATGGCAATATGACATTAAGATTGGATGTTATTGGTTGTGGGTCCTGGTTATTGAGATGTGTTGACGCTATTGACAGAGTCGCGGGAAGTCCCATCACTTTCACCTGCCCAAGTGTGGCAACAGTGGGCGTGGCCTCTGCAGTTGTTTCAATCACACCGCGGTGGTAGATACAGTTTGCTGCTGTTGCACCTGTTTGCTGTGTCTGTATAACTATATTGGCTGTTTCCAGTGGATAAAGTTTCAGATAAAATGATTAGCATGTACCATAAAGAGGTATTTAAAGTGACCCCTGTATTTGAATCATGGCTATGGGTGGGGAGACTTGTGATAGAAGTAAGGTTTGGGGTATGACATGGCAGAACTGTAATTGTAGGTGTGGTTGTGGTAGAACTGAGACGTTGGAAAAACTGTAGCTGTTGGTGAGATATGTGCTATGACAATTGCTGTGGGGTAGATTTGGTAGAGCTACAGTTGTTGGTGGGATATATGTTAGACCTGTAGCTGTGGGGAGGATTTATGGTAGATATGTACATAATGTAGCTTGGGGTGAGACTTGTGGTAGATATGTAGCTGTGGGTGAGACTTGTGGTAGATATGTAGCTATGGGTGAGACTTACGGTAGATTTGTAGCTGTGGGTGAGTCTTGCGGTACAACTGTAGCTGTGGGTGAGACTTGCGGTAGATCTGGAGCTGTGGGTGAGACTTGCAGAAGAACTGTAGCTGTGGGTGAGACTTGTGGTATATCTGTAGCTGTGGGTGAAAATTGCGGTTGACCTGTAGCTGTGGGGAAGATTTATGGTAGATATGTAGCTTGGGGTGAGACTTGCGGTAGATCTCTAGCTGTGGGTGAGACTTGCGGTAAAAATGTAGCTGTGGGTGAGACTTGCGGTAGATCTGTAGTTGTGACTCTTCTTGTATGTTTAGGATGACCTCTACTGTTCATAAGTCTACCTGCCCATACAAGATAGCACCTACAAATATGTCTGTATTATATATCTGCACAATCAACTTTACTGGTTACATTTTCTTATCTCAACTTTCATTTTTTCTGTTAATAGTTTGCGATTATTACATCATAGGTGCTATTCATAAATATACATTTTTGTAGTGTTACTGTTTGTTGCTATGACAACATTGAGGTGTGTGACTGACTGCAACTGTGTCCTATATACATTTTGTGCTGCACATAGAGCTAACTGCAAGTAGAGGAGTTAGCCTAACACCTAGCAAGATTAATCAGATGCCAGACCACTGCAAACTTACTGAACTGAAATGATAAACAGCCATCGTTGATTATCCAGTATGTAATATTTCCCCATTCTTATGATGAACACCCTGGGCCCATTCGCCATCATTGCTTCGTTTTGAGCCTAGTTAATGCAGTACAAATGACATGATGCTGAAAGTAGCCTTCAATAATAGTACACTGTTCTTTTGTGATTAAAATGAGCTGCAATATTACAACATAGACTAAGATAATCGTTGCGCTACAATCGCTTTGAGGAATTGTTTTTTTAGAGTACTGGGCCAGTTCCACAAAGCGATCTTAGCACTTAGGTGATCGTACCCCCATACTTGAACATATCCTTACAACCGTTGTAGCACTGATATCGCTTTGTGGAACAGGGCCCAGTACTCTAAAGCATCTGTGAATGGCTTGTAGCAAAAGGAGTTCTCTCCCTTGTCTTTCAAGCCAAATAATATTATATAACAGTCTCCATGTTCGATATAATATGTCTAGCTCTTTTTCGTACAGAGCCATGATTTTAAGAAGAGTGAGTTTGATTGGTTGTTGATTACAAGCTCAAGGGAGACAAATATTCTGTGCTAGATGGCAGACATTGAGGTGGTGATGTTATTCCTGAAACAAAGCTTATGGGTCTAGGATGTTCATCGTAGTAGAAAGGGGAAATAATACACTGGATTATCAAGGATGATGTAAGGAATACCAACACAAGATCTGGGTTTGTGTAGGCAGACTGCTGTCTTGCTCCATATATACCAGGATCTGGTTCAAGTTTGTGTAGGGCTGCTCTTCATAAGGCAAAAAAAAAGTAATAGTCTTGGTTCTCAGGCACCGCCGGCATCATCATGAAGTCTGACGCATGTTTCGTTTTTATTTCCATTTTCAAAACAAAACAAATCCTAATACTTAAAAACAATGTGATCCATTATAGCACGCAGTTGCTTCCTTTTACATATGCACTGCTTTACTGCGCATCTCCTGTTATGGTCATGGCGACAATAGTAGTATGTATGCTTATTGATGTAGGGAGGCCCTTGCCCAGGTTGATGGTACACAACTGTTTATTTGGTTACACACTAGTTTGAACATGCACAAAAAAACAAAAACACATCGCTCACCCGCACTATATTTTCAAAAGTCATTGCCTGAGAACCAATTCTTTTATTTTTTTATTCTTTTGTGCTTTGTACGCACAGGCAAGTTTAGTAATAGCTGCCAGACAGGGTTGGTGACACGAGTGAAAAATATTTCAATTAAGTAATATTATATTATCCTGTAATATAAATGTATCACATTGTTTTGAGAAGATATGCTGATTTTAAGCTTTGGTGCATGGATTGTCATGTGTAATTTTGAGAGGTGACAGTATGCACCCTTTTAAGTAATTTTGTTGTACATTTTAACGTGATGCTTCTGTGACTTTATATTATAAAGAGTGATAAGGATATTTGTTATTGTTGCACTGGTTCCATTGTTTTACCTGAGGGAAAAATTAGTATTAGAAATAGTATAGAAATAAGAATGGATGTTTTTATTCTTAAGCCCAAAAAGAAGAAGAAGCTGAAGTCGAGGAAGGAGAGAGACAAACAGCTTGATAAGGAGCCTCCCAAACCTGAGAAACCAATAACTGTAAGTATAGCCTTCACTCGCGTTGTATACAATCGAGGGTTGAGGGAGCATAGGTGGCCCAGTTGTGAAGAAACACCATTGTGTCCTATAGGCATATTATGATCTGATGATCCTAGAATCAAGTTCATGAAGCTACTAGATTATGATTCAAAGAGCAAGTTTTAACAAAGTGTTACACATCTGCATGACTTTGTTTTTTTCTTCACAAATTAAGCTGATCTCCTTGCCTCATTATGTCAAAAGTTGTTATAGATTGTACTTGTTGTTACGGTGTGCTAGCGATAAGGGGATAAAACAAGGATTGGACAGCTCAGTGTCAGAATGTGGTGTCTAAGTGGGGTATCCATGTTAAACTACGGCATGATATCTTACTGGGCTAGCTGGCATTAGTCCGGACTAGCACAAGCAGCCATCCACACATGTGCATGTACGTTGCTATATCAGTGCAATAATCTTGAACACAATGTTAACCGCATCTCACCTCACCACCCAAATTAAGCTAACACACTGATGTCAGTCAACCACTCAACAAACCAAGGGGTCATAGATGGCCAAGTGGTTAGTTTCTGCAACTTTACTGTGGAAAGTTGCATCCCTTGGCTGTGCCAGGATCCTCTGATTGTGTGTTAGAATGCCATATAGGCCCTGATTAACATTCTTGGTTTATCAAAGCGATATCAGTACCTGTGCATTTCATGTAAGTTTAAACTTCTAAAACCGGTGTTACTTGAGGCTCACACATTACCTATGCCAGTGTTGGGATATATAACAGTAATATTGTTCAAAGCAGTGTTGTATGAGATTCACCTGAAGTGTGTGTACTACAGGAACCCCCAGAGAAGAAGCCTGTCAGCAGCCATCCTCACGGAAAACAGGACAAGGTGAGCTGCTTAAAGATTAAACTTCAATACTTAATGTTTTTCATTTGATATTAATTTGACTGTTTCCATTTACTGGGTAACATAAACACATTGTATTTCAAAGTGTAAAGTGCCTTTTGCTAATAAATAACTTTAATAATCTTAAAAAATAATTTATCAATTTCTTTTCTATGGAGTAAATGTAACTCAATGGATATTTTTGCCTGGTTATTAGTTCAAGGTTTTGACATAGTTGTTTCTCTACGCTTTTCTGCATGTCAGTGGAATTCTTGTTCAACAAGCAATGGCTTAATTGTCCTATTTTATATATTTTGGGTGACTTTGGTGCTGAAACTGTTTCGTATTTTTGGTTTGAATCTTTGAGAATGATTCTTTCATTTATTGGTTTTGGTCTTTCAAAATAATTTTTGCTTGAAATGAATGACTGCTGCCAGACTCCATCTTTGCTGTACGAAAATATTAAGATAAATCCAAAATCTGAAATAAATGGACTTACATTGTTTATCCCAACTTTCTGTGTTTTATTCTGTTTTGAATGAAACGTGGGTGCTTTGTTTCTAATTTAAATTGTTACATTTTATATATCTTAAGTTAAAATTTCATTTGATTTTTTACTGTAGTACCAACAAAAAAAGTTTGACTGCTTTAGAGATAATGTGTCTTGATTTCTTTTTCTGTCATTTCTGCTAGAAGCATAGAGTGTCGAATCTGTCCACTAACAGAACTATATCGCCAGTGAGTTGCAGTTGTCATGGTGATGAACACGCCATGTTAGATCTAGTTGATTTCCCATGTTGCTGTGTCTTTCTCACTGTCAAGCTCTGTACAGGCTGTTGTGAGTTGCCAATTTCACCGTCAATCACGTACAGGAACTGAATGGTTGTAAAATCTTTAATGCATTGATTTTTAGTTTTATAACTCCCTCAAATTGAAAATGTTACAGTGTTATACTGATACACAAGTTTTGAAATATACTAAACTTTTCACTGAACTTGGTGTCAAACAAGATATCTGCAAAAGAATTATTTTCTGAAACAAACACTTGAAATACGAGTTGTAACAAAAATAAAATGATTTTCCAAAAGTATAGTTTCAATCAAACACAGCATTTAAATTTTGCCCTTTTTCACTTTTGCAAATTAATGGTAGGCTTGTTCATAGAATATGAGATTACGTTGGTCTGACATAATAAATAATGTATTGTTTGAAAAAGAATAATTGTTGCCTTGTTTAGATAAAATGAGCCCCAGACAGTTCCTGTGCGTGTTCATCCATCACCCCTTACAAGCTGTTGTGCACAAACAGGGACATTGTTGACATTGTCAATACGATACCGCTTGTAACAATTAGTTCCTATTATAATTAACATCATCAAAAAATAATGGCTTCAGTGTACATTTGTAATTTGATATTGTTAAAAATTCAGGAATTCCCCCAACCTGTAGATGTGAATATGCTGGTCACTAAAGGCAAATGGAAGGATTTGGTGGTCAGTGACTGTTGATTGCATGTAATTGTATCCCGATTGCATGAATCGATGCTCATGATGTCAATCACTGGATATCTAGTCCTTAATATAACTGGAATACTGTTCGAAGTGGCATTGAACCCAACTCACTCACTCACTCACTGAAAGAAACTCTCTGAAATCTATATCTATGTTGATATCATATAAGATTTTCCATTTATAATTGTGGCTTCAGTTTCTTTTGATCCATGCATTTAAAATGATCGTAGTGATGATTATTGGGTATTGTTAACCGTATCGTCAGGAGAGTGTGTGAGCAAAGGTCATAAATAGTGTCAAGGTGATTGCTATTTATAATCATTGAGAAATGTTTGGAAAAAATATTTCTGATTTGGAAAATGCTTATCTATGAGAAAAGACAATTAAGGTAACTTTGTCTACTAAGTGGTTTTTTTTCAAATTTGCAACTGCATGTTTTAACCTAGCTTCTCTCCTGTTCAGTCTGAATATATCCTTTATTGCAAAAAAATTCTCACAAGTGTATGTAACACACAAGTGGCTATTTTCTTCTCCCACAAAAAAATAGACTAAAACAAGTGGGGTCTATAAGTATTCTTGTAAATTATAGACAAGAAAATATGGTAATAAGATAGATATTAAATGATGTTCATATTCTCAAAACTCCAAAGTCTGTCGGTACTGATAGTGTCATTACAATACCCACTGCTCTTGTGATAGCACTTCACATGCATTACGTCAACCATGTCTGTACGCTTGTGCGTGTGTGTGTGTGTGCACTAACTAGCAACAGTTTGCTTGTCTGTTACGGTTGGCTTGTTTCCACTAGGGGCCCACCCAGGCGCTCCGCTACTCTACGTCATCTAAACGGCCTCGGTCGCAGGACGAACGCACCAGTAATGGTATACCAATATTTGTACAAGAGCGGTGTGATGAACGACAACAGAAACGGGTAAAAACGTGTTCCTCAGTACCATAGTGCATGCATTGTGAAATTTACATTTTTTATTTTGTGCATTTTAGTTTTGTTCTCGATTGTAACTGAAAGATTAAGTGATAGATTAACTGAAAGATTATGACTGCTCTGAAGGTTAATGAAAGTACAAAGAAATATATTTTTGAGGGGTTAGAGCTTTAGTTAGTTTTCATGAAATGAAAATAGGAAAAAATGTTTCTCATCGTCCAAAAAGATATGATAACATGCTGGATGAATAATGTTTACTCAGAGAATCATTCATTTTGGTTTCATTGATGGTTTTTATTGAAAGAGTTATCTTTCCTTGTTAAGGTGTGATGCCATTACTTTATGCTTGAAGGATTTTCAAGGAAAACTCAAGGAACTTATTGTTTAGAATTTTGAAAATATGCTTCGGATGAGAAATGTTTGAATTTTCATAGCCTTAGCTGAGTGCCACAGGTAGTGGGTATAGAAGTGTCTTGAGACTTGCATGCATAGTGTTTAACTGATGAACATATGCTGTTCTTTCTTTGAAGTATGACTATATTAGACATGAGTGCCATAGTGTTAGAATAGTGTAAACTCTGTGTAAGTCTATGTGATGCAGATGCTTATCTATATATAGATTCATAGGTAGTATAAGTCGGTCACCTTTGACTTTTGACCTCTGACAGGCTTTGAGTGCTGCCTCTCGGCAAAGAGGCACCCCTCTCCAGAATGAGGTGAGATGGGGGTTATAACCAAGGGCCTTACACCCCAACCCACTGTCAGGGGGCAGGTTTGGGGTTTGTCTCAAAAGTTGTGTAATTTGTTTTTACAATTTCATGTCATAACTAGATTATTAGTGTAGCTGTACGTGAAGGATAAAACACATCAGAGGGGTTTTATGAGATTTAAAACCCGAATCCCAGGGATAAAACCGAGGATGAGGGTTTTAAATCTCATAAAAACTCGAGGATAAGTGATTCATCTAACTTAAAAGCCGAAAAAAAGAAACTTAAAACAACATTTATTGACATTTTTATGTTTCAAACACACTTTCCATGAACCTTAGGAAACGGGCGTAAAATATCTGTTGCTTGCTTACGGGTACTTGAAAAGGACATTCTTAAAAGCATTGTGATTTTATTAGCACATCTGTGATACACTCACTGGGCTACAGATATGAAGGTTGCGTGTTTGATCCATGGGAATACAAAGATAACATTTGTCATTTGATTTTACGTTTAATAACATTGTGTTCAAATGCAAAATAAATTTCTAGCAAGAAACATTCATATGTTACAATATAAAATTGAAGTCGTACTAATAAAATCCCAGGGATATATAAAAATCATGTTTTTGAGATTTATCCGAACTGGAGAAGAATTATAAGACGTCAATGGAGGTTAACAGTATAGCTGAGGTGTCACGGTATGCCTACCTCAGAATGTATTGCAATACTTTGTTTGCGCTGTTTTTGTATGAAAGTATCATCAGATGTAAAGTCACAAGGAATCAATATGTCAGTAAATCGTGGCACTCCTATTATATGGTATGATATGGTATGGTATTATATGGTATGTTTGCCTTCATCAAACAGTTTGTAAGAAATTTGGATTGAATATACAGATGAATTAAGATGATTCTTTTATCTGTATAAAACATCGCTGAGTCAAACTTAAAACCTTACACTGAGCTTAAAACATAAGTTATGATTTATGTGTTAATCAATTACATTAGCTTTAATTTAGTGTTTTGAAATTATTTTTTATATATAAATTTCAGTTAAATGAACATAAATTGCTTTTGTTCTCAAATTTTATTGTAGACCGGTAAGATCAAATGTTTAATTTTATCGTATTTGATAAGCAACTTTTGAGACAGTCCATCCTATTGTCTCTGTCCTACCCAGGGTGCCTGACTCACCCTCTCAACACCTAGCTTGTAGTCATCTGAGTCACACAGGAATACAGGGGCCGATGCCTTATAATGCCTTACTATAACTATCAAGACTATTGAGTTCAAGTAAGACATATCCAAGAGTTTCTCTCTGTCCTTTATGTAGACATGACATCAAAACTCATAATAAATATACTCCCAGATTTGGCGTACTGGTGCTTCTTGGTTTCACCAAAGTGGTCCCCGTCTTAGGCTTCAGGCAGTGACATAACTGACATCAAAATTCACATTAAATATACACCTAAATTCTTGCTTATAATGACCCTTGATTTTGCTGAAGCAGTCAATGTCTCAGACTTTATCATCAAATGACTGTATTTAGTGAACAAATACTTCTTGGGGGCAAAAAGGGGCAGTTTCGTAGCCTGGTGGTTAAAGTGTTCGCTTGTCATGCCCAAGACCCGGGTTCAATTCCTAAAATGGGTACAATGTGTGCAGCCCATTTCTGGTGTCCCCCACCGTGATATTGCTGAAATATTTCTAAAAGCTCCGTAAAACCATGCTCACTCACTCTTGGGGGCAAAAACAGCTTAATTAAACCTTACAAAGGTTCTTTGATGTTAAAAAAACAAAAGCTATGACTTATAAATTCTATTTATGAGTAGAGTATTGCTGTGGTGAGTTTTGGCATTGAGTACAAAACGAAAAGACCAGGAGAGATAAAACTATGGTCATTATATAATATTGAAATTCATTATAACTGAGGCGACCTGTATTCCTGTCCTGTTACTGTAGCATGATCTGTCTGTATATTCCTCAATACTTCATGCATAATAACTTGCATAGTACATCTTGATAGACATAATCTTATAATGAGTAATGCATGTTTCCATGTATTTTTAAGGACTACACACTGAGTAATCATTGCAATATGTATGTGGTGATATTACTGTTATGTAACTGTTTAATCAAATAATTAACAATCTCCATATATTAACTCAAACATCTGGTGATTTTGTCACAACTTAACCTATAAAATGCTTAATGCACTTATCTTTATTGAAACTATATTTCTTGTGTTTCAATATTTATGTATACAAACTTGTTTAACAAGTTGATTATGTTTATGTTATGCATCGTCAATACTTCACAGGTTTGTATACATTACTGTCCTCCATCATCTGTGAATACACACGGTTGCTTTGAGGTATTGTGGTGATGCAAGTCTGTTTTTAGCAAGTTAAGGAAGTGAGGCAAAGAATAACTTTTGGAATTCCAGTGAGCTCTATATTTCTGTGGACCCGTGAAGAATCGGGGTAGAATAGATCTTCAGCAACCCATGCTTGCCGTAAAAGGCGACTATGCCTGTCGTAAGAGGCGACTAACGGGATCGGGTGGTCAGGCTCGCTGACTTGGTTGATGCATGTCTTCAATCCCAATTGCGTGGAACCGCATTTGAACAGATTCTAGTACCTGGATACCTGCAGTATATTAATGTATAATGTAATAATAATATAAATGCTTAATGGTCTGAGCACTCACTGTCTTCCCTATCATTTGCTTGATGTGCTGGTTTAAAAATAGTGTCAATACCTGGTCAGCAAAGCAGTCATATGTATTCATTGGTGATGGAGGAATCCTGTACAGTGTTCAAAATAAGGGGGCGTTCTTGGTCCTTGAGATTTGCTTCTATGGTATTTGAATCTAGAGATCCTCTAAATCTTAACTTTTCACATTGACCATGGGTCAAGGTCGCCTTGATTTTCATGCTTATTTTCAAACACTGTAGTACAAGGTTATGCAGTATTGATGATGCATCTCATCTACCTGGGTTGTACAGTACATTGTGTCTCCATTCTATTATGAAATTACCCTGGACCCATTTGCCAATATAGCTTTGTTTTAGAAATGACATCGCTATCGCCTTCTCTCTTATCAGTAACTCAAAACGAAAGGGACCCAGGGTATTTATCATATTGGAATATAGCTAAACTGCACTGGGTAATCAAGGATGGAATGTTATGTGATATTGATGAAATGTATCTGTGAATCCAATACAGGCCTGGTCTGTGTGTGCACCCAAACTGTATAATTTCACATGTGAGGTAATCGTTTAGCCCTAAACAATACGACCTCTTTTATTCAGAGCTTTTTTCATTGAAACCTATTTATACAATATTGAGGTATTAAGGCCAGATGGTTAAACAAATTCTAAAAGCGGCATATAACACTCACTTTGTGATATCGTAGATATATTTAAGAAAGCAGGCTATAAACATCTTCATTAGAAATAAAAATTGAGTGAAGTGTAAAAATTATGATGCAAATGAAAAATCATTTGGTTGAAGATTTCAATATTTGAAAAAAACGCTGTGTCGGCATTAAACAGAATCGATGCCAGGCCCCAAACAGATGCTAGGTCAAGGGCTTGCACCAAATTATTGAAATTAAATTTACACCTGGGTGTCTGACAGAGGAAATACGGTACACTATTTTAAACATAAAATTCATTGCCTCTGGCCTTACACTCAATTTGTCATTCAATTGTCTCCTATTGTCTATGTTTTGTCATGGTTCCTTTGATGATAAAGTATATAGTCTTAACACTTAGGTATTAGAGGACCAACTTCTCATTTTTCTCAAGGAGAATCTTCCTCCCATTGTTATAGCTGATAAGTGATTTGTCTTTATGCTTTTATTCAATTATTTGTGTCCCTGCAAAAGACGAGAAGATGTTCCCCAGTATGTTAGTGACCTGATATCCTGTTGCCAGCATGTTAATGTTGTCCCTTGTCTTCTTTTCTGTAGTGATACCTTGTTAACATGGTTACGATATCATGTATGATAAATGTTGTTTACTCTATATGTTTGGCTTAAAAAAACTGCACTTGTTTCTGATGCAAGAATCTTTGAAAATACGGTTTAAAACAAAAGGGCTACTGTAGTGAAAATTTCAACTTTTTTAGACACTAAAATCTACACCATCTCAACAACATCAATAACATGAAGAAGTGTCTTCAGTTTTTGCTCAGCAGACATGTAGATATGTAGAACATACGTCTCATGTGACGCATCCGTGGTCAAATGGTAGAACCTCTGCCCGGAGAGCAGGAGGTCAGGGGTTCGATCCCCAATGGCGTCATACCAAAAGATGTTAAAAGATGGTACTTGTTCCTACCCTGCTTGGCGCTCAGCATTAAGGGTCTAAAACAAGGACTGGTTGGCTCGGAGACAGTATATTGTGTCTGGGTGGGGTATTCATGTTAAACTGCAGCATGGTACCTCAGTGTGGGCTGGCACTATAAAATTGCACGCACGCACGCACGCACGCACGCACACACGGCTGCCGTCATTTAGCTGAAATATTGCTGAGTGTGGCATAGAACAATATTCACTTGCTCACCAGATCTGTATCTATCCTGACACAAATGAAAATGCATCATCAAGTTTTCAGACATGCTGTGTTGTTGTGCTCAAATCCGTTTCGAAACATTTCGAATGAGATTCAAGCCCAAACGACAACATTGTTGTGTTTAATTATCTCATGTCTAAATACACAGAACAACTTAATTTGATTTTTGTGGCCATTTAGCCAAATATTACCAAAATTAGAATATGTGTTTTCAAATTGTTTCAGTATAATAATTTCAATAGAAAAGATTTCAGATTAATGTATGGCAAAACGTCAGTACGTACTCAAACAGTCAAGTTTTCAGCATTTTACAACGTAAAACATGAATTTCTTTTTAACTTTGCTGACTAACATGTTTTAGTCTGACTACTTGGAGGCGTTGACGGCAGCGTACCTGAGAAATGGGATCCCTCTTCTGAATGAACCAGGTGAGACTCTGACCAGTGATACAGCTGATATGTTTGATGCAGTAGATTTGTGCATTGCGGATCAATATCAGCATAAAGGCGTCAATGTCTGTCATCCTATGTCTTATGATGTTTGTCTTTACAGTATCTCCTTGTATATTTCACTGTGATTTGTGTTTGTTTCAAAAGTTTTATAGCATAGGTACTTATTCATAACAATGGGACTGTATATTTCTGCTAGTATTTGACCCAGCTGCAGATCTTCCATTGTGTATTCTACATATATGGACTATTCAACAACAAAATACTTGCATGTTTTATCCGCAAGGTGATATGTTTTTATTGTATTTAGTAATGACAAAGTCGACACAATTTAGATAACAACTTCTTTCATATATTTTAAGTAGTTGTTATCCATAAATTGTGTCTACTTTGTCATCTGTCAACTTCTAAGAAATGATTATCAAACAATGTATTTAGTAATGGTTATAGCATTATAAAAATGAACAACTTGTTAACTTAAACCTAATATTGAAAGCTAATGTCTAAAAGCCCAAAATGTATGGATGGAGAGATGGGTGGATGGATGGATGGATGGGTGGGTGGGTGGATGGATGATAAGTATCAGTGCATGTTCATTTTATCTTAAGTTACGTTAACGACTGATATTTTATGTATTTATTATATATTTTACCAGTTTCAGCACTATCCACTATTTCGATCGTACCGCCTGGTAGAACTGAATAATAATATTCTTACCTTACTGCCTTTTAGTTCCAAAGCACAGTCAGCTCATATATTTTCATCATTCCTTTTGCTCTAGATTTAGAGACGGATGATTTTTTGATGATTTGTTTCTTCTTTGTTTTCATTACTTATCTTTGTTGTATTTTATTTGATCAAACTGAGCATTTCCTTTGTTACAATTAAGTCCTATATAAGGTTTGTAGATATGAAGTCTGCAAACTTGCTAATTATACTTATCTTTCACATTATTGAATAACATAATTTCCATGGCAGTTTTTGTGAAAGTGGACCCCAAATCAGGTACCTTGGCATCAGTAGAAGATATTCTGTTCTCCATGTCATAACATTAGTTGTTATCACTCCCCTGTCATGGGAACAATAGGATGTCATAACATTAGTTGTTATCACTCCCCTGTCAAGGGAACAATAGGATGTCATAACATTAGTTGTTATCACTCCCTTGTCATGGGAACAATAGGATGTCATAACATTAGTTGTAATCAATGCCCTATCAAGGGAACAATAGGATGTCATAACATTAGTTGTTATCCTTCCTGTCATGGGAACAATAAGTTGACATGACATTAGTTGTTAACACTGCACTGACATGGGAACAATAGGATGTCATAACATTAGTTGTTATCACTGCCCTGTCATGGGAACAATAGGATGACATACCATTAGTTGTTATCCTTTCTGTCATGGGAACAATAGGATGACATAACATTAGTTGTTATCACTGCCCTGTCATGGGAACAATAGGATGACATAACATTAGATATTATCATTGTCATGGGAACAATAGGATGACATAACATTAGTTGTTATCCTTCCTGTCATGGGAACAATAGGATGACATAACATCAGTTGTTATCCTTCCTGTCATGGGAACAATAGGATAACAGGACATTAGTTGTTATCATTGCCATGGAACAACAGGATGACATAACATCAGCTGTTATCATTGTCATGGGAACAATAGGATGACATAACATCAGTTGTCATCATTTCCCTGTAATGGAGACAATAGGATTACATAACATTAGTTGTTATCATTGTCATGGGAACAATAGGATGAAATAACATTAGTTGTTATCCTTCCTGTCATGGAACAGTATGATGTTATAACATTAGTTGTTATCACTTCCCTGTCAAGGGAACAGTATGATGTTATAACATTAGTTGTTATCACTTCCCTGTCATGGGAACAGTATGATGTTATAACATTAGTTGTTATCACTTCCCTGTCAAGGGAACAATTGAATGACATCACATTGGTTCTTATCATCTCGGAGAGTGTAACGTTTTGGAAAATAGTTGCCTTTTGTGTCATTTGTAGTTCTAGAAAGACAAGGAAAAAGCACATATTGAACTAACTTGATGAGTTCTGCCTCCCTAACCATGACAATATGTTCCATGCACACAAATAGTAGTGACTTCTTTTCTTTCTTCTTCCTGCCTTATTGTAATGAGTTGAAATAAAACATATTTATAAACACTGATAAATAATGACAGATTTAAAAACTGTAAAGTATGGATTCCAATTATTAAGCCTCTAATTTTGTAACATATTTCTTGACAATGTTTGTGTTCTTCAATAACATTTAAGGACATTTGTGTTTGAAACTTGCATGCCTGTGCTTGGTCACAGCTATAAAGTGACATGCTTGTTTGAGGCCAGATAATGTTTGGCCTGGCATGGTGATAAGGATGTAATATTGCTGAAAGCAGCATAATGAACATCCTGTCACAGAATGTAGAGTTAGATTGCCTAATGGTAAAAGAAAGACCTACTGAAGACCCAGGATTCCTTTTATGGTTACAATGTGTCAAATCCTGGTCTGGAATACTGTCCAAAGTGGCATAAAACCCAACTCACTCACTTACTCAGATATTTTCAGATAGAATATGCCTCCTCCTGGCCTCATTGAATATGCACTGAAACTAATTTCACTTTACATTTTCACTCACAGTTTTTGTGAAACTGGATCCCAAGAGAGGTATTTTGTTGACCACTGGTCACTTTCTTCTTGACCAACATCATAGCATCTTTATCTTGACAATAACAGTCTTTTATCTCAATTATTTCCTTCTTAGATAGGATTATCGTCAATACATGGGTATGTATACACTACGTTTGTCCATAACCCATGAATACATATGGCCACTATGCAGTGTAGTAGTGACTAGGGATGGGTATTGGAGGCTTAAAGTGTTTCACAATATTTTGCGATGAACAAGGCCGTTTTGCGGTACGTATCATGATGTATCATATAATTATAAATTTTGAATTCAGCAGCAGTCTGATACATTGAGGTATGAATTGAAGTTCATAAATGGAACAAAACAAGATGCTGGCACAACATGATGTTTACTCAGTCAATAAATATGCATCCGTCCTGGGGCCCGTAGTGCTGCGGGGCAGCGGAGGCATTTGGCAAGAAAATAACATTAAAAAATCGCTATTTGACATCACCTGATGTATAGAGCATGAAAAAATGATATTGTGATACGTATCGTGGAAAGAAAGAACCTCAATTTACCGATATACCGATAATACCACACACCCTTAGTAGTGATGTGTGTGCGAATGAAAGGATGCTGTTTATAAGTCATGGAAGTCAAATGAGCTCTACTCTGAACTTTGCGTGAACCACACCATTTCCTGATTTTGAAGCAATACGTGGCCTCAATCCATGTTACATGAGAATTATTGCCATTTGTGTGATGTTATGTGGTCTCCTGCTCACTGGAACCAGACTTCATCTAATTCAGTGGTTAACAATAGCAACTTATTGCAAAGGCTCTATGTATTCACTGGTGATGGAGGGATGTTGTGTATACAAACCTGTGATGTATCAATAATGAGATACCATGTCAGTCTTCATGTTAGCCTTCACGTCATAGACATGGTCTTTGTAGTATGTCAGCATTAACAAGATAATCACTACCTGAGTCGCAAATTTCTTTTTGTTTATAATAATATTAGTCTCTTATCACAGTGATGAGAAACTTAAACAAATGTTTGTTCTAAATGTATGGAAAGTTGGTTACCCACTATTAAATCCAAGTAAATAGTGTGCAATAAATGAAAAATAAATTTTGAGAAATATAGTATCATCATTTTAGAAAATACACATGTTCACTCTTATCAAATCTGAACAAAAGCTGTAATAGAACATTCAGACAGATCAGTGCAAAAGTACTCATCTGATACCGAAGTATGAAAAAACATTTTCTCCTATTGTATAATTTTTTTCTCTTTAGTTCTTTTCCTTATTTTAAGAGGTGTTGGATATTTTTCGTTGTATCTCTGACTATCAGCTGACCTACAGCTCCAGGAGGTTTTGTAAATGTTCTCTTCTTTTGGTGGTGGAAGTCTTTATATTCTGATTGGGTTTTGAAATTTTAGTTTTCTTCTTTTCACTTCACATAGTCAATAGTGCAGAAGCTCTTTTGGCTTTTGGCTTTTTTGAAAGTACCATTTCATTGACACTTTAGTTATCAGTCATAAGAAATGGTCAATAGTGACAGCTCTTCATGCTTTTGCTCCTGTCAGGAACTGGGACTCTATTCATGTTTAATGGGGGGCAGTCGGGTAGCCTAGTGGTTAAAGCGTTCGCTCGTCACGCCGAAGACCCGGGTTCGATTCCCGACATGGGCACAATGTGTGAAGCCCATTTCTGGTGTCCCCCGCCGTGATATTGCTGGAATATTGCTAAAAGCGGCGTAAATCCATACTCACTCACTCACTCACTCATGTTTAATGGTTTAATGTATAATTATTACACTGAAGAAAATTCAATTACATTTAAGTCAGATGTCTCACTCCGATTTGGTATTTCTCTCCATTGTAAATAGACAAAGCCTCCATAGGAGGTTGAGTTATCTGCGCCCTGAGTGAACTATGACTGTACGGTCAGAATGAAGGATGTGTGTGGTTTTGAGCCAATCAAGTGTCAGTGTTCTATAATGATTAGGCTTCTTTCTTTTAGTACCATTGTCCCAGTTTAGGATATTTCCATCTGAACAAAAAAGAGAGAAAAACAAACACAAATGTTCCCCAGATTGTACATTCATTTTGGCGTAGGTGCCAATGGGCTCTGAAATGACAGCATGTGAAGTACAGTGTATGGCCGTAATTATTCTCCAATGGGAACTGCCCATTTTTGTTCATTGTTAGTAACCCGAAATCTCATATAGTTTCAGTCTGTGAACTGTCATAATTCTGGTGATATATAATTTTCATATTTCAAACTAAACCACAGGTAGGACATACATGTTAGGGCTGGGACGAGTCCAAATTTACTAACTGGGAATTTTTTTACCATACCCCTGGCAAAACGTATTTAGGTATGTGTACTAAATAATCTGGTCATGCATACACTGAAGTTGACTTGAGTTATATCTTTATTCAAAAATATGAAAAGTCAGAAGGAATGGGTGCATAGTCAGAAAGAAATGCGAACATTCGTGACTTGTAGCATAACCATAGAGTTCTAGATAATTTTTGTCATTAAACAATATACAGTCAAGTCTCGTTAATCCGACATTGTTGGTTGCATTTGATTGTGTTGGATTAACGAGTATGTCAGATTAACGAAATTAGGTGATTTGCGTTCGAAAATCGGACGTCTTCACGATAGGTAATAACCATGTGTACCCTGTAATAAAATCATTAAAACCAAAATATTTATATTGTTATGTTGTAACTAACCACGAGTCTGATAGTCCAGTGGGTACCCGGGTTCGGTAGTTCAGTGGGTACCCGGGTTCTACTCTGTACCCACCTGACCCACGTACACGAGTCAACCGTCCCACCCTAATACATGTATTCAATAATAAATCTATCTGTCATGATTATTGTGTGATAATATATCCAAAAGAGTGATGAAAGATATAATGAACATAAAATTCAACGTACTGCTGTAGAAACTACATCAAATATGATGTAATGTCAATAAATACACTCAATTGAAGTCTTCTCTCTTGTCTATGACATAATAGCTATTTGAAATGATGACTTCATTAATCTATGCAATGTAGATGTTATTTGTTTTATGTAGTTGAATGTCCTTGGGGACCAACCGCTTGATATATTTGAATATACTTTACATATTATAGGTTCTGGTTCAATTTATATACTTATAAAGTAAACAAGAAAATGACTACCTCGAAACATACTTGTTCAGATGACGAGCTGCAGGACAAATATCCTCAAATGCTGAACAAGAACTCTCATATGGTTAAATCATTTTGCTTTTCAGTACACTGTTACATATCCATGTACCTGTTTAAGCGTTTATCTGCTACCTTCTGAAGCTACCATTCTATTGCTTATTGATAAGGCCACAATAAATAAATTGTTAGATTTTCAGCAAAATGTTTCTGAAGTGAGGGAGGCATTTTATTTTTTATATTTAAACAAACTGGAAATTATCTGTTGACAGATGTGTTTCACAGTAAGAATGAATGTTTGGCATGACTATGATGACGTACATGGAGGGAATGCACTTGTTTATATTAGGTCCTTGAAAATAAAATGATGTTAGTCAGGCAGGGATGAAAATCTAATAATTTATTATGGCTTTAGGTAATAATGAGTAACCTTCCTTTAATTGAATTTTCGAGTTGTTATTTCTAGAACCTAAATAAAACATAAGGAAGTTATTTCCATACATTTGAAGAAAATTATTGCTAATGGGGAAACAACTCTCAAATGTGACAGAAGGTAGTGATAGAGTTATCTCCCCATTCTCTGTCTGACCTTGCCCTTCGTAGCTCTGAGTGTGCCAGTCTGTTCTTTGACAGTTCCTCATTTCCGCTATTCTGGCAACAAACACATCCCCGGCAACCTCCCCTTCAGTCTGGAGGGGCTGTGTCCGCATCATGAGCAAACTTTCGCGGCCCAGTACGTTGCACATCAGTTGCAAGGGACAGGAGGTAAACCATTTTGTCCCTCACCAGTTAACCACAGTTTGTTTGAGAAAGTGGGCTGTTGGTTTGTGTGAACTTCACATTTTTTGTTGAATAGTTGGTCATGGTTGGTCACTGTTGTGCAGGGTTTGGCATGTATGTAATTAATGTTTGTTGGGAAGATGTGTTTTATTGATTTTTACCCGATTTTTTTGCTTTATCTTTGGAGGCCATTTTGTTTGAACTTATAGAATGCATTGTGATAAGGGCCTTTTTTACACAGTTCTGCATAGGTTAAGAAATTAGCAAAAGGTTTAGAAATTTATGAATTTCTGGAAAATTGTTTCAAATATTTGAACATCACAGGTCCCATCTGCCCGAGGCAAGAAACCAAACTGACTTTAAACGTCCAGTTTCCTATTGGCTTTTTACAAGCTATTATGAGTTATGGCCCTTCTCAGCGTCTCCTATGGACCAATCAGATTCCACCTCTCGTATCACATGCATTTGCTTCAAACAAAATAGTCCCGCCAAGTCAAGATGATTTGATCGATAATCAAAATCTATAATGTGATAAAATGGGTCTTAAATCATGAAGTGCATTAAAACATCTGAGCACCTTGATTAAAAACGTGAAAAGATTTGGAAAATATCTGTTGACAACAAGTTGGCGGTGCACATGCTTTGCAAATCCTGCATTCAACCGAAATCTGCATGACAATTTACGAACCTGATTTTGATTTCGATTGGACTATACATAGACTCGTTGGTCCAGCCAAAATGTAACTCCATAATACCAGCCAAGTTCGACAAGGGTGGAAACTGGACATTAAAGTCAGTTAACTCTCTTGCCTTTGGATGATGCACAGGTCCCTGACCCAAGATGATTTTATTAGGGGGAAAATAGTTCTCTTGGGTCACATATTGGCTCGAAGTTACATGTTATCTTGAGTTTTGAAAAATCATTCGTTTAAGGTCATTTTAGCCATGTTCATGCCAGTCAGGATCATGCCAGGAGAAAAATCAAAATGACCGGTCAGCTGAATGTACATGGCCAATAAGTTTCAGATGTAAAAACACTTCAAACTTTTATTAAACTTAAAGATTTAATATTTCCAATGGTATAAAGGTGCCCTTAGGTTCATACCTCAACTTTTAATTTTAGAATTAAGTTTTACTTAACTGTAAAATTTTGTTTGTTTCACTCAAGCTTCATCAAATCATGTTTTGATTCACAGACAGTCTATCCTTTACATTAAGTAGCATATTAGTTAATGCATTTATTGCATACATGTCAAATCTGAACCCTGATTAAATGCAGGTAATTATGTGATGTTCAAACAAGCTCTGAAGCACTTCCTGTCCTGCACAGCATCTACATTTATATAAGACGCTTATGGTTTTGGAATGGTGTAGGGAGCTTTGGTGTCATGTTAGGCTTGCACGCTTTGCCTGCTTGTGTTTTCACGGGTTTTTTGTAGTTTGAGTGGTAGTTTGTTATCTAACAATGTTTTTTTATTATTTTTAGACATAGACTTAATACTGAATAAGGTGAAATATTGTCCTTCTTTCTTTGTTTTTTGTTTAATTGCTTTTTTTTCTTGTGAATTGTATTGTGCTATATTTTGTTGCAGGTCATGTGTTGTTGTTTGGGGTTTGTTTTTTCTTATGGTTTTGTTTCCTTTTTGTTTGTTTTTTAACTAGGTATTTCAGCTGTTCATTATGTTTGTTTGTGATTATATTGTTGTAATAGATCATGGTGGAGAGTTATATTCACACATGTTTTTAGAAGAATATATTTGAATAAGTATTTGAATTCTGTTTCATGTTCACAGCACGATAACAATATCTCCTAAATATGTTCATAGTCATATGAAAACTAATTTTTTTAAATATAGCTTCCATATTGTTTTCTAGAATTGTCTGATTATATGAAGCCAGTTTGTTGCTTGCAATGTTTGTGTTCCACAAAAGAAGATTAAACTTTTGAACTTGAAGTGAAAGAGTGTTGATCTATATCTTTTTGTGTTGAGTAATTTTGAAATCTTTTCAGAAGACCAAATGCATTTGATCATGCTGCCCAGTCAGTGATAAATAAAACATGGAAATTCGGAATTGTAAAACTTGCTATATTTTTGCTCTCATTGGCAATAAAGATTGAAAGAATGTCAGGTTTTTTTTTATCCAAAACTATACAGATGTCCAATTTTTTTAGCAATATCAAAAATGTTTCAATTCAGTCAGCTATTTACAGCATGGACAGAAATGTGACAAACATTTGTCTCATGGGCCAATGGCATATGTTGTGAAAAGACTGTCTGGACACAAGGCAAATGAAACCAAAATAAGGAGCAAAAAATCAATTTATTAAATGTGATCTTTACATCATTACAATACCCCGGTACATGTATTAAGATCTGCTTTCTTTCAATGAGTTGTTTTTTTATTGTCCACAATTTCACCTGTCATATAGCTCACGACGGGGTGAAAAAAGACCTTCGAGGTGGTAAACTTAGGAAAATCAGGGATAAGCAACAGCAAGATAAGGACCTGGCACCTTCATCTGAACCTCCTTCAGGTAGCCTTGACCTCTTGACCTTGACCCTCATCCTTGACCTGTCAACATGGGATTAAGTTTTCATCTTTATTAAACACTTTTACTACAGTCCTTAACCTCAATTACATTCTGTAGCATCTGTGACCTGAAATTGTTTTTAGTTCATTTCTTATAATAACATGGCTGTTTGATTTATTGAATGGTAATAGTGTTCTGTAGCTGTTTTTTAACCATTTCTGTGAGCTGTTCTTTTGGTATTTCCATAGAGACAATCATTATAATAAGATAACCTTTTTTTTATTACTTGGATCATAGATTTACAGGGATGGGTTCCTGTAGTTTGAGGATGGGATATATAATAAAAATATTACTTTATACACGTATTAATAAGGCAGAATTGAGCAGAAAAATAAAGGTTTTTTTCAAAAACACTTTCCTCCACCATTAGCAATTGGACTACTCTGTTCCATGAACAAACCTGCGTATTTGACACCATTTAATTGTTATGAAAATTTTCAATCAAAATTCTGATTGCTTCTGTAATTTATGCATTTTATTCAGGATATTATTTTCTAATATAAACATTTAATTCACAAGGAGTCATGATGACCTTATGAGGCTTGGAAATCCCTGTTCATGATCCAAGTAATGAACTGGTTATACTGACTGGATATTCACTTGGGTGTTGACAACTAAAATGATTTTTCTTTATCAGTACATCTTTTTTGTGTTGGCCTGAATGAATTCTCCTGATGTTGTCAATATATATGGGTATCTAGTCAGCAGCTAACAAGCTGTCAGGACTTATAACATTACATCGACTAACCTAATGGGGCCACTGCCTCAGGCATGAACACTGAAACCTTATTAATCCAGACCGTGAACACCCTGAAATGTGTGATTTACCATTTTTGTCCAGCAGCAATGTCATTAAAATCAAATCTAAGTTCTCGCTGCCGCTAAACAAAGATCTGAGGATATCCCATTACGGGTCACGTCAGAACGACCTTTTGCGAATTTGACCATCGACTGAAACGACTAACAAGAAGTCGACATCAGCCAATTAGAAAGCAGCTTTCTCCTCAGATCTTTGTTTAGCAATAGCGAGAACTAAGATCTGATTTTAGTGAGATTGATCCAGCAGATAAGTGAGGGGATTATGTGATTATTGCAAGGAGTTTTCTCTCAATAGCTTATGACACCAGGAAGGTTCAATTCAGTGGACCAGTCTAACATAAATTGTGATGCAGTCCATGAGCCGTCCCATATTTATTGTAAAAGATTGTCACTCTTGGGTCAAGGCTGTGTCTTAGGATTGCAGGGTAGTAAATATTTGTTTTTAAGGCCACAAATTTGTTCCTACAGGGATTTTCAGATCATGAAGTACCTACCTTATGAAAATACTGCTGATAAAGCAATGGGTAAAGAAAAGATAGATCATTACAAATTTTCTCCAAAGGCTTAAAAGAATCAAATCCTAACATCTAAAATCGTTGATTTCTAACCTTTGGTAATCCATGAGAACTTTGAAATTTCTCTATCTTCAAGATAAGTAAAGATTATTTTGGGTCATTCTCCTTACCTTTACTTTTGAAAATTTATTAAAAAAAGACAAATATCAGTTTGTTGTTGCCTAATGATTTAGTGCTTTAGTTTTCCTGGTAATACCAAATTCCTGTCCCATGGGAATATTTACCAGAGAAATAAGGTCTGGATTAACTAGGTTTGTTCTATGTGGTATTTTGGATCTAGCTTGTTTGTGAGATTTCTGAAAATGTGTTCTACACATTTAAACTGTTTCATATTATATTTTTTCAACAATTTAAGCCTTATCACAGAAAATCACTCAAATGTACATTAACCCACATACATGTAGTAGAATTGTAGTATTAACAGCATCTGAATAGTTATTAATATTTCTTTTATTTCTTCTAAAATCTGATCAATATCTAAAATTTAACATATTTTACATTCACACAGTCTGAAAAGCCATAGAGTAGATGTTTGGGGACAACAACACAAGAAAATAACTTGAACATTGGATAAATGGCTTTGAATATGATCTAATCTGAAGTTTAACACTTTAAAAGAAACATTTTATGTGAAATAAGCAATTAAAAAGAATCACATGCCTTGAAAATGTCATCTGAATGATTGGTAAGCCTAGGCCTGTATCAAGCCTGTGATTTCGTTTAATGTTGTTATACACAGTTTGTCAAATAATAACGCTTTTAAGGAGTTCAGTATAAGACAGCATATAAACCTTAAAGTAAAGACAAATTTCACGGCCTGATGCTTTTACAATCTCTTGGAATAGATGATTTTGTGTTGCTTAGAAATCTTTCAGGTACTAAGGGGAGATAATCCCACTCCTGAGCAATCATTGATATTGGTCATTCACCTTTCTGAACCATCAGTCTTGTAGTATGGAGGTGAGGTGAAATGGGGTTTAACATTGTGTTCAAGATTATTCCACTTATACAGCAATGTGCAGGCACAGGAAATTATATATTGATACAAAACTTTTGCATAAACACAATTATATTTCAAATTCTGATGGCATGGCCACTCTGAACGAAATAATGGCTTGCCCAGAAGTAATGCTGGGTTTAAGGACCTTCCGAAATATATAAACCAATGGGACATGTTCAAGGATTTATGGTGTCATATTTCGACAAGAATGGAGATACTTTGTGATGTTACAACCTTATGCTCATCTAGCATTTAACTCTACCTTTGATCACCTTACTATAATGGATGACCAGGATTACTCCAGAATAAAATGGGGTTTGGGTGGCCAAGTCATCCAAGGCGCTGCAATTAGCATTGCAGAGTTGTGTCCCTTATTCATGCCAGAAGCCGGATCGTGGGTCAAAACCCAGACTTGTCCTAATTCTGTTGCTAGGCTTGTCAACATCATACCCATGGGTTTTATCAAAGTGGTAAATGTCTAAGACCTGCATAACTTCAGGCTTTCCCCTTGGTTCACAGGCTGTGATATGACTGAAACTCATTTACTCACTCACTCTACCAGTCATCAGTTTAATATTGGATCAATGAAACCCTGAATTAATGTTCTTGAGATTGTCAATATATATATATATGAATACCTCATCCTCCTAACTCAAGCTGACACATCATGATATAACTTAAGTATTGTTGAAAGCAGCATAGATCATACTCACACAGAATACCAGAATGATAATAAGATGAGAAGATTTATCCAGGGATAATTCTAGGGTGGGACCTTGTGCTTTAAGCCCCTAAATTTGAAAAAAGGCCCACATTTTCAAATACTATGCATGGGCGGATACAGCTTTTTTGAAAAGGGGGGTGCACAATTAAGATCTATTTATTGTCTTTGGTGGTAATTTATACAGAAATAAAAAGGGGGCGTGCGCACCCCGCACACACACCCCCCCCCCCCCCCTCTGTACATTTTAACATTGTGCTGTATGGGCGTACCTCTGGAATATTTGAAATTTTCACATAAAGGGCCCATTTCAGAAAATTCCTAGAGTGAACCCTGGGGTGTGTTGCAAAGGGCGAATAACTTGCAAGCGATGTACAGCGATTCACCTTACAAAAATGAGCTAACTTTCAGCTGCTTGCAAGCAAAACAATCCCTGGCTGAGGTCGAAAGAAATTCTTGACTGGATCAACGAGGAAATGAGCAAAGACAGCTAACACTCCATCATCCTCAGTCTGCTCCACATCTTTAAAGTAGTCATACATTTATCAGCTCGTCTTCGAGCCTCTTCTATTACGGTCTTCATTTACATCAAGCCAACCAAGCGGTAGTTGTGCCACCATTTTGGAAGAGTGCGCAAGTGCTTTGAACTGTTGCAGACCCCAGGATGAGCGATTCGTGGCTTGCAACACGCCCCTGTTTATCCATTTTATCCATGAGATGGGAATGGAACAAATCCATCTGTATGGAAAACTTTTGTGTAGTGATTCTGTCTAATGGTAACAATGGCTTTTGTAACAGTTTGGTTTACATTTTACATTGACCAAATATTATTTTCATTCTTATACTTCAAGTTTTACTAATAAAGTTAACAAAGCATATTGCTTTAGAGCTCTACAGGATTCACACATTGACATATGAATTCAGTGTCTTAGTAAATGTTTCTATTTTTAGTGTGTATTTTTTCAAATAAACATTTATTAGATGTAGCAGGTGATTCATACATAATTATGTGTATTAAAATTGTTAACAATATTTACACTTTTTGTGTTTAACATGCACATGAGGTTTTCTGCCTCTTATCATTTTATGACTAATTTTCAAATCCATCAAAGTTGAATGAATTAACTGAATCATTTTTAAATATTCATCTGCATATAAGGATGGTACAATTTTTCAATCAGAATTCACTTCAGAATGAATTTCAAAACCAGAAGTTCACACTTCACCCAAAAATGTAATTAAAAGTTAAAATTTGAATATTTTCATTATGCAGAAGATCTCAGCATTTTGTTTGTTTGTCACACATTTTGTTGTTGCAGCCATGTTTTGTTTTACACTGTTCTAGGCAATTCCTACTTTAAGATATGGAAGTTATTCTCTCGGAGGAGTACAGATGAGCGTAAGACTTACACTAAATTCCTGGCCCATCTCCCAGACTAACAAATATACTATTCTCCTACTAACTGATGTCAGCTTCTATATAATGGATATTCATTTTTCAGATTGAACGTTATAGCCTAAGTTTGATGATAGAATTGATAGATTATTTTATTTTATTTTATTTTAGGAGTTCCGTTTAAATTTAAAGCTTAAGGTTTTTGTCTCTTAAAATCCTTTCTATTATTTTCTCTAAATGTGTTTAAGTTCTTCATATATTTTAGTAATAATTGTCGTTACTTTGATAGATGTGATTACTAACTGTCAAACTCATTGAATACGGTTATGTTTGTGAGAGAAGTGGTGAGGAAGATGGTTTTCACTTATCATGAAATAAGATATATTCAGTCACAGAAGTTATATACAATAAAGATTGCAATGTCAAGAAAATGATGATTAGTTTCAAGGAAGTTACATAAATATGCTATTGAGAATTGTATAAATATGTCAATGAAGAAGAAAATTGTTAATACCATTGGTACTTTATGGGTGATTGGGGTGGGGGTAGGGGGGATGCAGGGCTCCAGATCTCCAGATAAACCTTTTAGCCCTTGAGTATTTACTCACATGTTATCATTAACTGTGGGTCTTGATAGTTTTCTTTGAATATTCAACATATTTTTACTCATTCGGGTCCAGTCTATTGGGTATTTTTAAAACATTGGGCAAACATGTTTTAAACATTCTGCTTAAAATGCTGTTTCAGGTGACCTCTAATTTGCATCTCTCCATATCTAAGTTACAATAAGTGAGATATAGCCCTTTGTTGCAGTATTTCACTGCAGTAGAGTATGTGTATATGTGATGCCTGTATTCAATCAGTAAATAACGATACGTTACCGAGACAGGTACACAATCTGAAAATGCTGTTGGGTTTATTAAAGGTTTGGGTATTTCTACGCAGACAAATCAAATTAATTGAGTTATGATTATTTATTGTGCATATTTTAAGTAAATACACAGCTTAACTAGAGCTCTGGAGATTTGTTCCATGTTGAAATGATGGGCACTTACGTTTAAGTCAAATCAGTACTCACATTTGCCCAACATGGTCCCAAAAACTAGCTCGAACTTGTCACTTGACATTCTTCAGATGTTAATATATGGATGTATTTGCTAAGCTTACAAGACTGAAACAAATTTGACTAGATCTGGAACTGGGATAAGTGGCTAAAGTTGTAGACTGCATTTGTAACAGGTGCAGGATGTCAGAAATGTTATGTGTGTGGAAAGATGTGTGTTTCCACGGCATCCTCACAAGATGTAGGACTGTGTGTGATGTAGTTCAGACTGTATAGATGCTGATGTTGTACATGTTACAGCTGAGGTGACAGTGGAGGACTATCTCAAGTCCCGCCAGGGTAACGTGCCCCCGCAGGATAGGCGGCAGATGCCACGCCACCTGGTGGAGGTTTCAGCAGCACAACAACGACAGCAGGACATGCTACAGAAAGTGGGTTGCAGTCTGGAGGAGCACCTCCTTGATTTTCTAGCATAGTAGATCTCCATTATAATATGATGTATCAGGGATTTATCAAGACTTATGCCATGGCTCCTTTGTCTTTGTCCGTGGTCTAACTGATTTGTTAGTTAAACACCACTTGGCAATGACGGAACTTCTTTTTTTTCCCTATCATTTTTCTTGATGATAGAACAATTTCATGAAAAACGTTCAAACACGAATCCGCACGGAAGGTCTTCTGCCACGGCGTCATAGGAGAAATTGTATGAAATTAACAGCTAAATATTTTCTTACATCAGGACTACCGCTACACAAGGAAATGAGCACTGGTAAAAACGGGCCGATTGGTATTGTTATGTTGTTTACACAAACACTTTCAAGTTGTGGGTGCTTAGCGATCGTGTTGGGGCTTTGTTTTCGAGAGATTAGTTTAATAAACTTGAGAAGCCTGTGAGTAAGTGATGGTCATTTAATTTGTTCATAGTTTATTTAATTCAATTGGATTAACATCCAATAGTGGCGGCAATGTTCGAAGTTGAATTGAAGCAAATTGGTGAGTTACTGCATAGGTGTATAAAAGTTGGAATATTTTTATTGACTGGCAATCTCATCATGAGTTCAAAACAAAAACGCCACGCTTACGATGCTGCATTCAAACTGCGAGTCGTCGCTGTTGCTGAGTCAATGAACAACAGTGCGGCTGCACGACAGTTTGATATTAACGAAAGGCAAGTTAGAAATTGGAGGAAAGAAAAGACGGCACTAACATTTGTTGGTACATTTTCTCATGGGTTCATAATTCTATATACACCGATTCACAAAATGGCGCTTCATTGTTGATTGCAACAAAAACGATCAAAATGAGATTAAAAAAATAAAAGAGAAACAGCTTCCCACATTATGAAAGTGGATGACTGGTTTGTTAAATCTTCATTAGAAATAATAATGACATTTTCAATATAATTACAACGTTTTTCATCTTATATTATTGAATATCTGCGAGTACCGGCACATGTCTGGCAGTCCGACTTCGCAGTGTTTTTTGCCTTTCACTTCCTGGTTCGGCTTATATGCGGGTCATATCATTTTCTTTCGTATTTCAATGGTCAAGTTAACACCTCGGCTTATCTACGGGGTCGGCTTATCCGCGGTCATATACGGTAATTGCTTTTCCGTTTATGAACTACGAAATATGTTTTATGGAGTTTTTATACAGTATGTTACTAGTATGCTTTCTAGTATTTGTACAGTACTTGTGATTTGGTAGCTTTCATTCAAAGAAACGAGTCACGATATGGCTGAAATATTGCTGATGTGACTTTAAATTAAACTCACTCAAAGAAACGAACAGATAGAAAAGAAATTACTATTATCTTAACCAGGGCTATGTTTGCTCATAATAGGCCCATCAATGTGGGCAAGTAATATTTAGGTGATTGATAAATGTACTCGAGTTGGTCCAAAATGAATGGCATACTTGCCCCGGGACATGCATTTCATAACCCAAATCGGCAAAGTGCGAGGGTGCACATATGAAAGGCACGGGGGACATATTTCACATGCTTCACGCATGGCCAACACACAGTGTTCTCACAGTTGAGCATAGAGTTCCCGAATATCTTTCAAAATACCTTTAACAAAACAATATTTTTTAAGCATTTCAGGTGCTATAAATGTTGGACATGGTTTAGTATGATAGACTACTCGGACCCAAGTGTCATTCTTGAAATGGTTACTTAAATCATTTCAACGATTAGACACTGGGTCCTCATGGTCTAACCTATACATAGAGAGTAAATGTCCAAATAATTCTCAAATGAAAATTACCCAATTCATTTTGATATAGTTTTAACTCACTGGTTTGATATGGCTTTGTAGGATAACTTATACTTCACTGGTAACAGATCCAATAAGGAGGGAAAAGCTTTAATACTTACTTTTACATTATTGCATTGAATGCCATTTTAATAATTCTTGAAGTTCAGAATGTAAGGACTTACACAAAATAATGATATTGTCATTATTTGCATGCCAAGGGCACTTTGTTTGAAATCCTAGATACCGGTAAATCCCTGTTTGTAAATACATCACCATCTCCTATACTGTTTTAGGTTGACAAGAGTAATCTCATCAAACAGCATCCGAACCCTTTTGATGAGAAGAACACTGATGCCAGAAAAGGTGAGAGACATTTGCTACAGCAGGTCAGAAGTTTATGTGTACATGTAAACCAATTGGAACCCAAAGTCACAACCAGACAGGGGGCACGGGTGGCCCAGTCGTCTAAGGCGCCGCCATTCGCTGTGCAGAGTTGCGTCCCTTGGGTGAGCCAGAAACCTATGATTGTGGGTACGAATCCCGGTTCGCCCTGATTATGTTTCTAGGTTTGTCAGCACCATACCCGTGCTCGTGGGTTTCATCTAAGTGGTAAACGTCTGAGACCTGCATCACTTTGGGATTTCCTCCCACATTAAGCTGACACGCCGCAATATAACTGTAATTCTGTTAAAAGCGGCATTAAACACAACTCACTCACACAACCAGACATCAATTGAAAATAGTTAAAAGTTTCCTCTTCCCTTCCACACTATTTCAGAATGATAAGAACAAAAAAGATGCAAGAAAAAGCAAGAGACTATTCTTGTAATAATTGATCAGTTAGTGTCTGGCTAGTGTGAGGCTGACCATTTGATATTCTGGGGAGGGGGGCCTCTTATTTTATGTTTAGCTTGTCCTGGAAATATGTTACTGGTACAGTAAATCCCATGACAATACAGATGTTCATTTGACATTACAGGTGTCTGCATGCCAGTATTGGTGTTTTCATGACAATATACATGTGTTCTCATGACAACACAAGTATTCACATGCGAGTATAGGTGTTCATATGACAGTACAGGTGTATGTGATCGTTTCCTAGGTGATCGACCCCGAGCTCGCATCCCGTCAGCAACGTTTGTCAACTACGACACATACCAAGAAGACAGAGAGGATGTAGATACAGAAGGTATGCATTGTTCTAACATCTGTGTTACTCAAGAAGATATTTGTAATAGGGCTAGGACGAGTCCAAATTTACTACCCGGGTACTCAACTCCCTATTACCCGACCCTATCCAGGCACCCACTGTAGGTCTCAAGAGGTGGGAACAAGATGTACAATTGGGAATTGTTTTACCGCAGCCCTGGCAAAAACATGTACATGTATCAAACGATGAGATCATGCGTACACTGAAGTTGACGGAAGCTTTATCTTTAGTCAAACATATGCGTCAAAAGGAATGTGTGCATCGTCAGAAAGAAATGTGAACATTATCGACTTGAAGTGTAACCACTGAGCTACCGTGAGTTTTTGTCATTGAATAATATATCACATGACTAACCACGGGTCCAGGTAGTACTGTGGATACCCGGGTCCTACTCATGACCCATCCGACCCGAGTACCAGAGTTACCCATCCCAGCCCTAATCTGTAACATAAAAAAAACAATGTCAATTTGAAAATCGTCGGTCAGACATAATTAATCCGTTATGTTCATCAGTACCAATTCTGCTGAAGTTCAGAAATAAAGAAAACTTAAAACAAGCACACACACACCCCACTTGTGAAAATGTTGACATCCTTGAATAGAATTTTGAGTCAAGAGAAATCCTACTTAGCAATGATTTACTAAGCTGGTACCTTGTGGGGGTTCCCGGTTAGAACTGGTCCTCAGCAACCTATGCTTGCATGATACTTGTGGTTAGGCTCAGTGATTTGGTTGATTGCATGTCATTGTACCCCAACGGAGTGGATCGTTGATCATAATATCAATCACTAGATTGTCGTGTCTTGTCCAGATTTGATTATTTTAAGACTGCTGTCATGTGGCTGTAATATTGCTGAGTATGGCGTAGAACAACAAACTGAGCAGAGTATGGCAGTGCTGTGCCTATTCATTCAACTCATTGACATACCTATAATCGTTGGTTGGTTGTTGTTTAACGCTGCACTCAGCAATATTCCAGCTATATGATGGCGGTCTGTAAATAATCAAGTCTGGACCAGACAGTCCAGTGATTGACATCATGAGCATCGATCCATGCAGTTGCGACACGATGATATGCATTAACCAAGTCAGCGAGCCTGACCACACAATCCTGTTACTCCACTTCGACAAGCATAGTCATCTTTTACAGCAAGCATGGGTTGCTGAAGACATATTCTTGACAGGTCCATACATATAATTGAGATGCTGTTCATTATTAGGTGGACTTGCAGACATGTAAACACGCTGCGATATCACTGAATTCTAGGTAAAAGTAAGGTTCGTCTTCTAAAACAGATAATGTTGATTCCAGGATCATTTGATCGTGGCAGGAGGAGTGGATCTCGCCGAGGACAACGGGACAAAAATGGCCGCAAGAGTAGGATGGGTAAGCACAAATGTTCCATGTCTATATTTCATAACCATAATCACTCATAATCATGTTCATTTCCAAGTGTTCAGTTTAAAAGGTGACGTCCATGTGAGCTGAAGTATCAAAAACTAGGAGAACAGCTTGGTAGGATAAGGGCCTTTCTTGGTCAACAGGATCTGAATAATTGAAGAATTGAGCAAACCTTTTAGAAATCGTAATAAAATGAAAGTTATCACATGTTTTCCAATGAGAACTTGACTTTGTTCATTTCAACAATTGTGTGTAAGTGACTTATGACAACACTAATTAAGTATATCATAAATTATAAATGTGTCATAAAGGCTGATTTTATATATTGTTTGGAAAATAAGCAAGGTTTTCACCCAATCTGATTTCTTAGGAGATGCAGACAAAACAGTGCAATGATATGGTAAAAACTTCATCTTGGGTCAGAGTCTTGCTTATACAAATCAGCCTTTTTCACTCATTTTTGCCATTCTAATGTATTTGATCATGTCAGAAGTCCAAACCTTGCAAGTATAGGAAAGCAAAAAACCTAAGTGTCAACCTATATTTCAAAGTTTTCAGCAACTTTTAGATGTGACATTTCCTATCCTGCCTTTGACAATTGACTACTATGATTTCTGTGAGGATGTCATCAATACTGGGGAGAAGTACCAGAGTTGATTTAGTTGTTGAACTCCTGATTCTGATGAATAGTGTTACGAGAGGATTTCCAAATTGAAACGCAAAGGTTAACCCAGAAAGCAGTATGTACAGAACTGTCTTGTGAAATCAGTAAATGACCACACGTACAAGATCAATGAATAATCAAAGTTGTAGGGAATACAGTTTTATGTTAAATAGGTGTCAACAGCAGTAAGTGACAGGTCCCTACAATATATGTCAGTGCACTGCAGAATGTCCGCAATTTTTCTCTGTCAAATGTTTTTGAATCCGGAATACTGGTGGAAGATGGCAGGAATTCAGTGTTTTTCATCCTCATTCAACAAGAAGATAAGACACAAGTCAGGGCAAAAACGCCTTGCCTTGTCCTCTTGTTGCTTTATATTGGTAACACCAGGCTTTTAGAAACTGTACCATCCCGGTGAAGCCCATTTCCCATGATATTGCTGAAATATTGCTAAAAGTGGCATAAAACCAAACTCACTCACTCACTCACTGTACCATCCCGAAACTTCGCAAACGATCAAGTCTGTCATGTCTGTCAACAACAATGGTCAGTAACTCTAAGTTACTTTTGCTGATACAGACCGCTCAATTCTGGCCACAACAGCACTTGACATGTTACTGTTGTTTCAGTCACTTGCTGCCGTTGACAATTACCACAAATCAATCTACAACTATCCCTACAGCCACAGCAATAATGCTTAAATCAAAGTGACCAATTGTCAGTTATTTGGAAACACAGTGGATTTGTTGAAAATTTAGTATTTTATCTAAAAGAAACTGAATGTTAATGATTGTTGCTGTCTATTAGTTCTTGAGAAAAAAAATAATTTCAAATTCTAAATTAGGTATGCATGAGGAAGAGGAGTCCCAAGTTCCGCGAGCTCTCAGCACTAATGATGTACTAGACCTCACAGCAACCTATGTGCGTCAACAGCCCCGTGTACAGTCTGCACATGCCAACGAAGAGATGAACAACGCCATGAACAGCATCCGAGAACTGAAACAGTCCCTGGCAACAACAGCTGGACAGAGCAGTCTCAGCCCCACCACAGGGTAAGTGAGTGAAGGAGCGAGGACATGAGTGATAGTGGGATTGTGGGAGTTGAGAGATGGCTGTTGGGATGAGGTTTTCAGATTGACTATGTGATTATGATAGTTAGAATTTATAAATGTCTCTAGTCTATGGTAAGATGCATATTGCTATAAAGGGACCACTGGTGGCCCAATTGTCTATGGTTGCGCAATTGCTGTGCAGAGTTGTGTCGCTTGCACTCACCAGAAACCTATGAGCACGGGTTTGAATCCCTGTTAACCCCTATTACGTTTCTATGTTTGTCAGCACCATACAAGTACTTAACGAATACTTAAAGAGTAAGTTAAAGAGATTAACGTCTTGAGACATGCATCACTTCAGGCTTTCCTCCCACAGTAAGCTAACTCACTGTGGTACCGGTATTACTGGAGTACTGTTCAAAGCTGTGCTAAACCAAACTCACTCAAACTACAATAGACTAACCTATGGTCTATGAAATCTTTTAATACCCTTATACATTTCTCTTCTCTAAAATTAAAACAATGAATTTTCCTGATGCTGATTATATGTGGAATAGAGCTGGCTAGAGATGTTTTGGTTTTTTTCATAAAATACATATATTCCACAATCATGGTGCAGGACTAATACTACAGCTATAAAATTATAAGGTCTTATTTTAAGATTTGTGAGATTATTTGCTATGGTATTGTCTTGAGTAGAACCTACATCCGCAAACTGCTGAAGGAGACGAGTGAGGAGATGGACAGCCTGACCTCGGAGCTACAGGGAGATATAGAGGTGAGTCACTGACCTCGGAGCTATGGGGAGATATAGAGGTGAGTCACTGGCCTCAGACCTACAGGGAGATATAGAGGTGAGTCACTGACCTCAGAGCAACAGGGAATATAGAGTAGTATCACTGACCTCAGAGCTACAGGGAGATATAGAGGTGAGTCACTGGCCTCAGACCTACAGGGAGATATAGAGGTGAGTCACTGGCCTCAGACCTACAGGGAGATATAGAGGTGAGTCACTGACCTCAGAGCTACAGGGAGATATAGAGGTGAGTCACTGGCCTCAGACCTACAGGGAGATATAGAGGTGAGTCACTGACCTCAGAGCTACAGGGAGATATAGAGGTGAGTCACTGGCCTCAGACCTACAGGGAGATATAGAGGTGAGTCACTGGCCTCAGACCTACAGGGAGATATAGAGGTGAGTCACTGACCTCAGAGCTACAGGGAGATATAGAGGTGAGTCACTGACCTCAGACCTACAGGGAGATATAGAGGTGAGTCACTGGCCTCAGAGCTACGGAGAGATATAGAGGTGAGTCACTGACCTCAGACCTACAGGGAGATATAGAGGTGAGTCACTGGCCTCAGACCTACAGGGAGATATAGAGGTGAGTCACTGGCCTCAGACCTACAGGGAGATATAGAGGTGAGTCACTGACCTCAGAGCTACAGGAAGATATAGAGGTGAGTCACTGGCCTCAGACCTACAGGGAGATATAGAGGTGAGTCACTGACCTCAGAGCTACGGAGAGATATAGAGGTGAGTCACTGACCTCGGAGCTATTGGGAGATATAGAGGTGAGTCACTGACCTCAGAGCTACAGGACATATAGAGATGAGTCAATGACCTCAGAGCTGCGGGGAGATGTAGAGGTGAGTCACTGACCTCGAAGCTACAGGAAGACATGGAGGTGAGTCCTGTTATCGAGTAATATAAATGATATTCTTGTTTTACCTTTTGCAGAAAGAAAGAAAGCTAACCAAAGAAATTCAACATGAAAGAATAGAAGGGAAAAGAAAGAACCGAGATGACCGTCGATATCTAGGCAATGATGCTGAACAGGGGGAGGTAACTCTTGGACCAAAGTCCAATTCTGCTCGTAGGAACAAGAAATCTGAGACGGAAGTAAAGCAACAGAAACTCTACCAGTTGGAGTATGACAACCACATGACAGTGGCCTCAGCCCCACAGCTGACGCGTGACGACAGTGGAGCTAGTGCTAGTAGTCGGGAGGATAGGCCAAGCTCTGAGGTGGGACATGTTACCATGGTAACATAAATAAATATATAAATGAATAAATAAATAAATAAATAAATGTAACAGTCTCTAGGAGAGGGGGGTAAAAAACATTCTTTATGCTTCAGTACTTACTTAACATAATTTCAATGATTTTTCAGAGCTGTTTGTCAAGATGCCATGTTTGAAATAACTTTGCGGTTATTGAATTTGTAGTTCTTGTTTCTTTTTGTGACTCCGTTCTAGCAGGCTGCTTCTCGGGGAAGGTCCGCCCGATCTAATAGGCAGGTCGTCGGTAAGCCCCGCCCATATCGTGTACCCTGCACTGCTTGCCTGTATCATTCACCCGTGTGTTGTATTGGGGACATTATTACACTCTCAACAGCTCACAGTGTATCCAGCCAGTTGTACACCCTGATAACGTTTACTATACTCTCAGCACATTTATATATGCCCAGCTGGTCTCAGGTCTGTAGGGCTGTACAGTTGGCAGTCTGTGGTCCATCAATTGTCATGTTGGGCAGCCTAACCGCTTCTGGCTGAGCCTTCAATTGAATCACGGGATAAATGTGCAAAATTAATGAATATTCATGGTCAAAACCACCCTTTGAGGCTTGGCCTTTGGCCTCAAACAGTGGTTTGGACCCTGAATATGCATAATTTTTGCTACAAGGACCTCTGATTCAATTGAAACCCCTCTGTTCAGTACATGAAGTTCAAGAGTAACATGTCCCTTGCATTTGATTCAAATATAATTGTGGCGCCCTGTCAAGGCAATCTGATCATTATTCAAGATCTTATTTGAAATAAAATGGGCCTTACCTCGCGAAGTACATCAAGACACTTGAGCTCCTTGATTAAAAAACATGACAAGATTTGGAAAACATCTGTCCATTTGACAGTACACATGCTCTGCAAATCCTGCAAATGACCGAAATCTGCAAGACATTCACCTTGTTGTTCATGAACCGAATCTTGATTTCGTTTCGCGATTTTGATGGGATCATGCACAGACTCGTTAGTCCAGCCAAAATAAAACTCCATAATTCCATCCTAGTTCGGCAAGGGTGGAAACTGGACTTTTATAGTCAATTAACTCTCTTGCCTCAGGTAGATGCTATTTCCAGTGTATTATGTCTTGATTCTGTTAAGGATACCCTTGCCTATGAAATCAACAACCAATCTGACTGACTTCTGAATGAGAGTTCGGCATAAGTAAAATTTCAAAGTTGCCACTGCATACATTGGAACCTGCAATACATTTAATCAAATTAGAAGACTGTTATACTTGATATGTTAGCTAAAAATAAAGATGAATGTCTTATCCTATCACGTACACATCTAGTTGAATACAGGTGATATCGCTCCTTGTTTCAGTCATGAAATTGTAGTTTGATTGGACTGCTATTTTTCGTGTCATGTCAAACTGAACTCAAAACATAACATTGGTGGTAATAGGTCCAGTGAATTTACAAAATAGAATGGAGATTAAATACACTGGATAATTGAAGATGAGAGGTACTTGAACATGACATGCTTATAAATTCCAAATAATGGAGATTGTGTGGTGACAAGGGGTCGCCTGGTTGATTGTGTAATCTTACCTTCATGGAGTGTAGTGCTGGGATGGGCAACTCGGGTACTAGGGTTGAGTGGGCACTGAAAAGGACCTGGGGACTACCCTGATCCGTAGTAAGTCAAGTGATTTTCAGTAAAACATAGATATAACGAACTACAAGGGACCGGAGAAATCAGTTCGTTATATCCGTTTTTCGTTAAAGGCTTTTTCGTTCGGAAACGTCCGCCATCTTGGATAAAACAAAACACAATACACGTAACTGCAGCATTGACTTGTATTAGCAGTGATCATTTCATAGCATTCAATTGAAAACATTTCTTAACATTCATTTAAGTTTAACAAGGTTAATCCGTCACCGCTGATTGTGTTGATTCGCCGCTGATTGCGTACTACAGCCAATTGTCAGTGACACTTGACACTGAGTAAGATTTCTCAATTCGCTATACACGTCACTAATTAGTGACGGATGATGGGCTTCGGTGATCAGATATCAGTTCGATGTATCCATTAGTTCGCTGTAGAGAGTTCGTTATATACATAAATTTTATATGATATTATATAGGAGATAAATCAGGGATTTTCTAACAGTACGTTGTATCCATTTGTTCACTCTTTCCGTGTTTGTTATATCCGTGTGCTACTGTATTGTTTAATGACAAAAATGATAAAGGAACCATGTGGTTACTCTACAAGTCACTAATGTTCGCATTTCTTTCTATTCACCCATTCCTTCTGACTTTTATATGTTTGAAGATAGATAAAACTTCTGTCAACTTCAGTGTATGCATGACCAGATCGTTTATATGTGTATCTAAATACATTTTGTCCAGGGCTACAGTCAAACTATTCCCAATCGGACATTTTGTACCTATCTCTTGAAACCTACAGCGGCAACCCGGGTAGGGTCGTGTCATAGGGGGTTGGGTACCCGGGTTGTAAATTTGGACTCGTCCCAGCCCTAGTGGAGTGGATTGTTGCTTGCTCATGCTGTCAACCTCTGGTTGTCCGTCCATGACTCACATTTTTGCAGGCAGCCATACAAAACATTATGCGATGTAAACAATCTCCCAGACGTCAATACCTTGCTGCAGAGCTGCACTGTGTGTGATGTGGCATGAAGTGACATATTAAAGCATTAATTTAACACCAGCTTCATATATATACCTGCAAAAAAGTTAAGCTCAACCCTTTCTTGATTTTCGTATAACCCAAACTATGGAATTGTAGAATAATGTTGAAACATCAAAACATTTTGAAAATAATTCAATAATATTTATGCCAATAATACATGAGCAGCAATAACTTTGAGGTGAAATACAAAAATGTTCCAAAATGAATTATTTGGCAATGTAACCTTAAAAACACTATCCAAAGTAATGTCATCAATTGCTGCACAAGCAATCTAAATAATTAAGTTAATTTTTTTCAGGCAAGGCTTAAACAATTAACTAAGCAATGACAAATAATTCATTAGACAAAATGAAAACATATACATGTATATCTAGCATCAGAACAAAAATACCTCGTTTTTGATTAATGAGTAGAGCCAAGTTGATAAATTTGATCTTTGATACTGTTTCTTTATGATCAGAGGTTTACTGTGATATAGTCAAGCATGTTTATGAACTCCCCATAGAATTTTGATTCCCTTGCTTCTGTTGTCAAAACAATGAAACACTTCCTGTTTCTGTTTCAAAATTTGATACCTTGAAATGTTGAAATATTTTCTTAATTTGATCATTATCTGCATATAACATTGATCTGATTAAAAGTTGGAACATATGCTTGTCGTTTATTGAGTCATATCATATGATGCAAGGTTGCAAAGGTAGCAGTTGAAGGGATAGTCAAACAACTACTGCCATGGAACAGATACAAAACATGTTAGTGGATAATCAATTGTTGTTTCTGTATTTCAATACAGGCATGTCACTTTGTACACATAATCAATGTACCCGTGAAGATCCGGGGTAGAATAGGTCTTCAGCAACCAATGCTTGTTGTAAAAGGCGAGCCAATTGTATCCCAATTGCCTGGATCGATGCTCATGATGTCAATCACTGGATTGTCTGGTCCAGACTTCATTATTTACAGACCGCCGCCATATAGCTGGAATATCGATGAGTGCGGCGTTAAACAACAAACAAACAGTCATAACCAATGTATTTTGTCAGAAAATTTATACAAGATAAGTTTTTTATTAAATGCATATTTCATGTAGGATTATATATAGTTGGGTGCTTAGTTTTTTTCCAGGTGTATACGTGTGCTGCTGACACACCATAAAATGAGAATTTTACAATTTTTCTCTCTATGATATATATTTTTTTATTTTGTTTTTGAGTATTAATATTTGTTATGTAAGATGTTAATGATTTTTTTCAGCAATTGTTTATGTTGGAAAGCTTCCTCTGTATGGTGTTTGGATTGCTGTATTGCTGTGAATGTAACCTTGGTTTGACTAATACAATAACTTGATGTTAATCATCTGCATTACTGTATGGCTTTGGTGCTCCTGGGTCAGATAACATGTTTAGATGCAGTGTGCTGGTTTACTATGAATCAAACCAAACTTATATCTGTTAGGTTTTATGATCCCCTTATGTTGTGTGCCATCACTGTCAGGTTTAATAATTCCCTTATGTTGTGTGTCATCACTGTCAGGTTTAATAATTCCCTTATGTTGTGTGTCATCACTGTCAGGTTTAATAATTCCCTTATGTTGTATGCCTACACTGTCAGGTTTTATAATTCCCTTATGTTGTGTGCCATCACTGTCAGGTTTAATGATTCCCTTATGTTGTATGCCTACACTGTCAGGTTTAATAATTCCCTTATGTTGGATGCCATCACTGTCAGGTTTAATAATTCCCTTATGTTGTGTGCCATCACTGTCAGGTTTAATAATTCCCTTATGTTGTGTGCCATCACTGTCAGGTTTAATAATTCCCTTATGTTGTATGCCTACACTGTCAGGTTTAATAATTCCCTTATGTTGTGTGCCATCACTGTCAGGTTTAATAATTCCCTTATGTTGTGTGCCATCACTGTCAGGTTTAATAATTCCCTTATGTTGTATGCCATCACTGTCAGGTTTAATAATTCCCTTATGTTGTATGCCTACATTGTCAGGTTTAATAATTCCCTTATGTTGTATGCCTACACTGTCAGGTTTAATAATTCCCTTATGTTGTATGCCTACACTGTCAGGTTTAATAATTCCCTTATGTTGTATGCCTACACTGTCAGGTTTAATAATTCCCTTATGTTGTGTGCCATCACTGTCAGGTTTAATAATTCCCTTATGTTGTGTGCCATCACTGTCAGGTTTAATAATTCCCTTATGTTGTATGCCATCACTGTCAGGTTTAATAATTCCCTTATGTTGTATGCCTACACTGTCAGGTTTAATAATTCCCTTATGTTGTATGCCTACACTGTCAGGTTTAATAATTCCCTTATGTTGTATGCCTACACTGTCAGGTTTAATAATTCCCTTATGTTGTATGCCATCACTGTCAGGTTTAATGATTCCCATATGTTGTGTGCCATCACTGTCAGGTTTAATAATTCCCTTATGTTGTATGCCTACACTGTCAGGTTTAATAATTCCCTTATGTTGTATGCCATCACTGTCAGGTTTAATGATTCCCATATGTTGTGTGCCAATGACTGTTGTCTATTTATTAAGTGTCTTAACAGCTGAAAGGATGAGTTTTAGAGGAAAGAATCTCAAGATAAGAAAACATTTGAAGAATTTCCTTCTCCAAACTGCTAGAGCAGTAGCGTTTAATATGAAGGTGTGAAGATCGCAATGTGACTTGGATGTGTTTGTGACATATAAAATATTGTTGTGTTACTGTGCTCATGATATTGACCATGGGTTTGTGTAATTGGGCTGATCATGTGTCACCATGGCCTGACTGTCTGGACCTTAACTCATGCCATCAACCACAGGTTTGCATAACCCAGCCTTGATTGTTTACAAGCTGTCTTGATATGACTAACATACTGCTGACTGTTGCATAAAACAACATTCACATGCTCACTTCATGTCTGATATGTTAGTAAGAGTCAAAATTATTGAGCTACATTAGGCTTAAAAAACCAGAAGAATTGGTTCTCAAGCAATGGTTTTTGAAAATATTGTACGGGTGGGCTTGCGGTGTCTTTTTTATTCTTTTCGTTGTTCAAACTGGTATGTAAGCAAACAAACAGTTGAGTAACCAAATAAACAATTGTGTACAATCAACCCAGGAAAGGGCCTCTCTACATAAATGTATTCCTTGATCTGTAAAATACTTGAATACAGTATTTAGCTACCATTCGACTTGGAATAATTTGTGATATTTTTTAATTTTTTTTAAATGGAACCAAAAACAAAACATGCAGCAAACTTTATGATGATGCGGATGGTGCCTGAGAACCAAGACTATTATTTTTTTTAGCCTTACAGTTCAGACTTCAATTTGCCAAAGTTAAGAAAAAGAAAATTAAATAATATTCATATTAACAAATAAATAAATTGACTCCATCAATGTAATACTTTCTCTCTTACATTTGTCATCTTACCATCTGCTGTAGCGTTGCATCATGATACTTTGTGCCAGCATAGCAGGATCACATATAGGAAAAGGATGTCGTATGCTATGAAAGTGTACTATAAAGTACAAGTATTCTATTGGTATGCTTTGACTTTGACATTTTTAAACTATTGTTAGGTTAATCGAGTCAAGTATTTATATGTCATACATATAGTTACAGCCCTAATAACTGAACTTCAGTACATAAGTGGAATATGGTTTGTCTAGATATTTCATTTTGTTATTTCAGAAGCGGTGCCAACGAAAATCTCCTTGATGATATGTTCTGATCACCAGGACATTGACCAGCTGACAAGTGGCCGGCAGTGGTTGCCGATGTACAAGACAGTACGCCCACCCTATCTGCGACCTTGCAACGGCAAGAGAAAATAGCCACTACTCAAACTTTAGATTAAAATCATCATGTACTGTGATACCATTCCCGTTAAGAAGAGAATAACAGAGAATATTGTTTTTTATCATGCTGTTTCAAAAAGAGAATGATGGAACATGTATCAACAGCATAAGATTGTCTGAAAGAACAATGCATTTTGTTAAGTGTTTTTTTATTTATTGAATTTATGAAAAAATTATGTTTGTATTTATGTCTACATTTCATTTTCAATAATTCAGTTTGAATATTAATTTGATTTGCTCGAAAGCAAATTAATAGTTTTAAGATGAAAACTTATGACAGTGGTTTCTGTTTGATATATTCTTTTTGACTAAAAAAGAGCAATTTACTTATTATCCCCCGCCGTGGACTGGAAGGGTGATATAGGAATTGGTGCTGTCCATCTGTCACATTTTGTTTCCAGAGCAGAACTCAAAAACCATGAGATATCTTAACCAAACTTGGCATATAGATAGATCTAGTGGTGAACTTGTGCCTTTTGATAGTTTGGCATTTTTTTAAAGCTTATTTTTCGAGTTTCCATAGCAACAACTTTGACTTAGACTGACAGTGGCGGTAGTGCTCGTTACCGGAGGGCTAATGCCTTGCACACAACAAGATATGTCATATCGGCGGGGGATATGAGTGTTCATGCTTGTTACGAATATTATACATGACGTATACAAGTAGGTATTTTGTTTATAGAGGTGTGAATCATATCGTAGATGTTACTGTTAACTTAAAACAAATATCTTTGTAAATATTGCTTCATAATCTTATAAAGATCCATTTCATTATTAAATAGCACCATTTGTAGCTGAAAATTATTCACAATGCACACTTTAATATGTTAAATGTCCTAAAATACTCTTGACAATACAGAAAGGTACAAGGTAATTTTACTTTCCAATAGTTAAGAAGTGTACTTACGTGACATACAGATAAAAGATTGTAATTGTTAGAAATGAAAAGTGATACAAATGGATACAAATATTGATAGGTAGACAGCATTAAAATTGTTGTTTGTCTGTTAACCATTTCTTGTTGACAATCAGTATTTAATTGTGTACCTAGCATGCCTAGGATAACAATCATGGTATCATCGTCAAAGTTTAATCTCAAGTGTCTCAGAAGGCAAGGTTGTCTCATGTCATATAGATTTCATAAATACTGCCAAAGGTAATCAAAACTTGTAGGTTCTCTTCTCACTCCCCTGAATATAAATGCTCAGTATATGAATGGAGTTTTTAAATATTAATAAGGTCATGAAATTAATGATTAGATTTTCATCCAAATTGAGGCAGAATCATTTTGAGTTTTGCACCTGTACACATGAACTGCTAATGTATGTGATTCACACAGAGCCTGAATGCTGGGTGGGACTACACATGTAGGACATATTTCCTCAAGTAAAAATGAGATGTGTTGCGGGTGGGATGTAAATCTGATCATTAATTTATTATGGCATTAATGTGAATATTTTCATTCCACTGTAATTTATTTATGTACCGGTATCTGTGATATGAGTTGAGTATTGTTGTCATATTCCGTCCCTCCTACGCAACGTGCTCAGTGTCTCCCTTCTCTCAGGAATAATACAAGGTCATACGACTGACAATTACCAAGAAAGCTGGATTCACTTGAAAAACAGTTAAGAAGGCCAGAGCAATTTAACTACTTATTTTACAAATCAGACACCCCACCCCACACCCCCAAAAGAAATCTGGGAAATAGTCTTGTTGTAATCTTATATTTCAAAATAAATGGTTACACTTCATTGTTAACTTGTTCTCTCCAGCAGTCTCCAAAGACAGCAATTATAACATGCATGATGTGGCAAGTTTGCTTTCAGTTGTCTTACAGACAGTCAGACCCAAGAAAAGTCAAACTATTTCTTTGGTCCCCAGGAGTTTGAGGCAGTGAGGCTTCAACTGTCTCTATGTTTTTAAAATCGTTCCTGAATTGATTTAGGGACAAAAACCTGTAAAACAAGTAATTCAGTTGATCTGGCCTAATCAGATGTCTTAATACCAGGATTCCGAAATTGTTAAAACACCTTTTGTTGTGTCTTGAATGGAGTCTTGTATTATGTTGTAACTATGCACATTGTAACATTTGTTCAATACTGCTGATATCTGTACATACCTGTTACAATAAATACTGCTGTAATTAATACTGTTGTTTTCTCCCACCTTGAACATCATTCATGCATTAACATGAAACAGCCCAACTCTCCTACTGATCATCAAATAAGACAGAAATGTTCAACACTTAATTCTGTCAACACTTTCAATTCACAATTTCCTCCATCTTCTCACGGCAAGCATGTCCACTAGCCTATATCTAAGACTAGTTTTCATACTTGCCATTTCAAACCTACTTTTCTGAGCAAATATTTTCGAGGTGGTTCAAAGTTTTCAATCAACTCCCCCAAGTATTTATATATATTTGAGTAAACAAAACTTGAAGTTTGACTCACACAGTTGAACGCTTATTGCAGTGACTGAGATGCAGTGCTATTTATTTTAAGACCACTGCTGAGCATTTATGTTACCATGATAGGCAGTGTTATTTGATACTGTGAAGTCTGTATGCAGCTGTCATTGTAAGAGCAAAAAGTGTCAGTAATAAGAATCTTTACTGTGGTAATCTGTCATTTTGTTTGACAGAGGTGAACTCTCAATTCTTTTCCTTATCGGACAAGGTAGTCTGCTATGGTAGTCATCTTAGTGAAGCCATTTTGAAGTAACAGCGACCTGATGGGGTTTCGGGTTTTTCATCACAAGGGACACAACTCGTGTTCTACACAAGGTCCGCCACGATTGAGCCAAGAAATGAAGGCTAGAAATGGCAAGGGTTGAAACTAGGCTTTGATACAGGCTTAAACATACAACCATCTCCTTCCAGTCCAGGAACATTACTTCCAGACCTTGATCGAGCATAAGACAACTGTTAAGGTGGTTGTTCACTGTTACCTAAAAGGTGAGTTTGACCTTTGACAAATAAATTTGAACGAGTGATGGGTTTAATGCTTCTTCAGTTCCAGATCTATCACAACAGACAGCTTCATTTTGGAGGAAAGCCGAGAAGTGATGGAGGACTTTGGTGAACTCAAGCGCATCAGACTGACTTCTTCGAGAGGCATTTAGAAGTTGGAGTACTAAGTAACGATCAGATATATGGAAGAACTTCTTTATTACAATAAGGAGCAAAGTTTCGGTGCAGGTTCTTACACTTGATAACGGTGTTAGAACTGACGCTGAAACATCGCTCCTAATTGAAGTAAAGAAGTTGTTCATCCACATATCTTATCCCAACTTAGCATGAGATTGGTGTAGACAAACCTAGAATAATAATCAAATCAAAGTTTTGCCACACCTAATGGAAGCAGCTCTGCAGAAGTCCCTGTAAGGATGTCCTGTCATGTCAATTACCCTTCCATGAGAAAATTCAGCAATGTTTGTTTGTTGTTGGACACCGCACTCAGCAATATTCCAGCTATATGATGGCGGTCTGTAAATATTCGAGTCTGGACCAGACAATCCATTGACTGATGTCATAAGCATCGATCCACACAATTGGGATACGATGAAATGCATAAACCAAGTCAGCAAGCCTGACCACCCGATCCCATTAGTCACTTCTAACACAGTTCTTCACGTGTCAATCCTTCAAAGTACATTTTGAAGAATTAATCCTTTCATTATGTTCATAGCAGTGGGCTGGTTGATCCTTGTGTGGCATAAATACATAAAACATATCCTGATTGTTTTAGTATCCAACTATACATTGTAGAATAATAACAATATTTCAACAACAAAAAGTCTACATTCAATAAATTTATTCCATTAATACACGAGCAGCAATAACTTTGTAGTGAAATACAAAATTGTTCCAAAATGTATTATTTGGCAATGTAAATACTACCCAATGCAATGTCATCAATTGCAGCACTAACATTCAAATAATTTAGTTAAATATCTTTTTCTTCAGGCAAGACTTGAACACTGAGCAATGAAAAAAAGGTCATTGAAAAAAATGAAAGCATGTAAATCTAGCCTCAGAAAAAGATATCTTGTTTTTGATTAATGAGCAGAGCAAAGCTGATAATTTTGATCTTAGATATAAAAAAATCAAGATCAGATGTTTACTGTGATATTCAGTCAAGCATATTTACCAACTGCCTACAGAACTTAAATTTCCTTGCTGATATTGTCAGAACAATGGAATCAACATTTCAATGTGAAACTCATAATTATTCACCAGATAAAATAATCGTATACAGATCTGAAAATGTGCATCCGATTGAAATGATTAATTAAACAAGCCAATATTCTTTCCAAGGATTACTATGAAAGACAACAAAACAAGGCACATAACAATTATAAATAAATGCTTAACAAAAACAAAAGGGTATCCAATAAAAATGTAAGTTCACACATAAACAGCAACCTGTAAAAGCCAGTTCAGCTTCAAGAGTAGCGCATGAATTTGGTTTGAACTTTGTGACGTTTCACTTAAAACATCTACAAACAATTCTGATAAAAAACACATTCAGGAACAGTAAGGACACTGTTTTTCACACAATGGTCCACCTTCAGGATTCATGTGTCCTATCAAAAACCTCATGAATGCCCTATCACTGATAAGTGTGACTGAACAAACAACTTGCAAAAATTGATGAGTATAACTGGGCTGCTATATACAAACCTTAAGGGCACCATGTCACAAAGCGATTGTAGAGCTACAACTATCCTAACTCCTATATTTTAGCGTAAACTTAGTACAGTCATAGTGCTACAATTACTTGGTGAAAAGGGCCCAAAACATGCCATTACCGTGTTATGAATATACAAAAGACATTAAAAAGTATGACAAGTAATAATGTAAAAAAGGCCTTGGCCTCCGGTTTAGCATAATAAAAGTACTGGGATGATCGTCACTGTTGTTGAATGCAGTGTGAACACAAAGAAGTGATAAGTACACATCACTGCTTACAACAACCTACGGAGATAACTGTTGTGACAAGGAGCCATCTCGTCGCTGGTATCAACATTTAGTTCCTGATTTCCTGCAAAGAAACAAATTAAATCCATGAAAACATTTAAATCAGAGGATCAGGATAAATGGAAGTTTGACACAAGTAAAATATCATAGACGGACTTGTCAATAATTTTCAGTGCATCATAGCACTTTTCAGTTTGTGGCAGTTTGTTAACCCTCCCCCCAAAAAGGGTTTTTGGTAAGTATAAACCGTCATCTTTCAACATCAGCTTGTGTCATTCATTTGTATCATGAAACGTAACATTTTGAATATCATACAGTGACTATCATCCCATCCCTATTACTATGGCATCTAAATTATCAAATCTGGACAAGGCAAATATGATACCAAAACCAATTCACACCACAGAGGTATGATAACATAGATGCCTGGGTATTGCCTGCATATTGGACACATTGCCAATAACATACCATGTTTTCTAACACTTCCCAATCTCATTAAAATCAGATCTTAGTTCTCGCTACCGCTAAACAAAGATCTGAGGACATCCCATTACGGGTCATGTCAGCACGACCTTTCATCCAACCAATCAAAGCGTCGCTTACCAGAACCTGAAAGTGACAGTCGGAATGTGTTTTCTAATCATGCAACCTCAAGATATTTAACACGGGGTATTCCGAACGACAGTTACGGGATTATATCCATACAATCTAGGCCATCTATAAGCCATTCCAGAATGTTGTTTTGGTCAGTTTTAAATTTTTTAATCGAGATTACGTCAAAATATGCTTCGAAGCGTAGTCGCCGTAAAGCTCGAGATAGCTGCCTTCTGATTGGCAAATGTCGATTTCTTGTCAGTCATTTCATTGGTCGGACAATGTTCACGAAAGGTTGTTCTGACATGACCTATAATGGGATGTCCTCAGATCTTTGGTAAGCAGTAGCGAAAACTAAGATCTGATTTTAATGAGATTGTAACACTTCCCATATGTCCTTTTCTGAAGACTATGTCAGAATAAAGTGATTAACAGAATAACAAACATCAAGGAATTGCCTCCTCTGTAAGAATTAAACATGCTAATCTAGGACACATTGAAGTATTTTTTCATTCAACAGCCTCCACGTGCCAACAACCCTACAAGACAACCAGTGGTCACTTACAATCAACACAAAGACTAGAACAATTTATGTGAGCAAAAATAAAACATATTTTTTACTTAATTTAAATAAAGAATTAATCTTCAAATATGAACTCACTTTGTAAATCAGGTCACTCTACGGCATCAACAATCAACAGCTTATCTGTAAGAGATCAAGGATAAATTAATGACAAAAACTAAATATAATCAATCACTTCCAATTCATTATAATATAGGGCATTAATGTGTGTAAATGCACTCAATGTTCAATAAATTCTACAGTCTTTAATCAAGGACCTATTCAAGTGTAAAAAAACAACATTTACTCTACAGTGAGAGTGATAAAAATGTTTATGCAATTTAGTAGTATTTCATTACATTCTTAGGTTCACAAATTGAGAATTAACTTCTTTTAATGAAAGTTGATGACTGAAAAAGAAAAAATGTATGCTATCCAATTTGTACTTCAGAACATAGGGTCAATAATTACCAATAATAATACCAGTGAATTCCAATCCCAAACAAAAAACTGATCTAAGCAACAAAGACAAAGGGAGGATGGCACATTCAACATTGTCCACCAAAGCAAGCTACCATTTGACAAGGTACCCATTATACACTCACATGGTATAAATCCAAGATACAAGTAAAGTACCTTTTACTTATCAACTATGCCAATGTCTAGCTACACTATAAGGTGTCACAAGCAAATTCAACTCGCTGTTGGAGACTCAAAATATCCCAATTTTACAGGTGTCGTTCAGTGTTTTTCTAAGATATATTCCGCTTGTATGTTAAAATAGGGTTAAATTGTATCTCAATATTAGTACATGTCAGTTGAAGCATTTTGTGAGACAATGTTGAAGCTTTCACAAGCAGGGGTAACATCATGCTGATCACAAACACAGGACTGTTACATAAATGATCATGGTTATCAACCCAGCTATATATATCTATGAAATCACACAGCTGCCGTTAGTCTGTGATACTTTAATCGTGTGATCCATCTATTACAGAGACTGCTACAAATGACATCCTATCTTGTTCTATGTCCCAAGTTGCCTTACCATTTATGTAAATATGAGAGCATAACTGAATGTTTATTACTCAAAAAGAAAGATTAAAGATAGAGACAGACATTAAGGATGGTAGCTTTACAATGGCAGCCTAGGAACAGTCTAGTTTAGGTGCAACATATTAAGACAGAATGACGGTAATGACACTGGCTGCTGTGCTATTTCTATGATGGAGGCGAGGTGTACGCTACCTCTAGTCTTTTTCCTCTCTCTCCTTGCTCAATTTTGACTGAGGGCTTCTGCTACGATCCCTACTCCTACCCCTAGATCGGGACAGACTCCTACCCCTAGACCTGGATCGGCTTCTACCCCTAGACCGACTGCATCCCCACGAGTGGGACCGTGAACTAAAAGATTATCCATAAAGAAATAAGCCAAAAGAGAACCAGGGTAAAAAGAATGGCAAGAAATTTTAAAGATGTAGAAATGCTGACTCAGCTGACATTGAAAAAAAAACAAAAAAAACTTTTTCGGCTTGAAGGAAAATATTTACTATTATATACTTCTCAAAATACAAAGTATTATTGCCCCAACTTATCTTAAAGACATTGTACCAACCACTTAAGGTTCAAATGTATCATATAATTTAAGAAATTCAGACAATATTGTGATTCCATATACTAGATTAAAACACTCCATCAACTGTAAGATTATGGAACACTATTCCTGCAGCAGGTAGAAATTGTACATCTACATCCCAATTCAAGATATACATACAAAAAGAGCACCTCCATATTTTTCCTATTGTGTTAGAAAGTTGAATTTTCTGTTTTCCCTGTATATGATTTACTGTACAAGCTTTTGTAAATACCATGGAGAGGGAGTCCTAAGTTGGATAACTTGTTCCCAATCCATTTCAATCTGAATAAAGTATGTTTAAACTAAACTCAAAAGAAATATAAGAACACTTGACTTTTATTACATGACTATTGTTAATCTGGTGTGTATTGCGACACAGCCTTCCAAATGATGGTGTTCTTTAACTTCTTTTAGGAAGTATATTTGCTCTTAGTGGCACACAATGGATTAAATAGAGCATCTGGTTAATACACAACAGCAATACACTCTTCCAATCTGCTGAAAGATCTTAACATGAGGCTTTGAAGGCATGTGTTCTATGGCATTCTCATTTCATGCAGAAGGTTTTCAACTCAACTACCGGTACAACTCAAAAAAAGCATACAATTGCATTAACTACGAAACATGCTGCTGGGACACCATCTTACCTGCTGCGGCTACGACGACGAGGTGAATTAGAATCGCTGCGACTTCGTCTACGTGGGGAGTGGGATCTGCGACGTGGGGAGAAGGATCTGCAAGTTGATGATGAAGTCCGTAATAATGATGGCAGGTGTTGATGCAGGAGAGCTGACTGCACAGCTGGCAGCAGCAATGACTCTTTCAACATGCAACAGCTGACATAGAAATCTAGAACCAAGTTGTCAAGACCTGATCGGCTGGCAAGCAAGCACTCTCCAACCAGGCGGCTTTCACAATTTTTATGATCTTTTTTTATACTTTTGAAAACTTTGTACTGGACATTATTTTATATATGAAATGAGTAATCTGACCTAGACATGGTACTACATCTAATAATGAGATCCTATTACACTTTCAATTCTATCATGCCAAAGTAAATGAAATGTCAAATAATTGATGGCAAGACAGTACAGATTGAACTTCCAAATGAGTCCTCTTGATAGTGCTACTATACCCATACCCTGCATGAAGAGGTTGGGACGAATCTGCGAAGGTTAGAAGTAGAAGTAGTCCCTAACGTTGCTTTGTATGCATGTTGCAGAGGAAAAGTTGTAAGGCGTTGACAACTTCATTCTGTACATAAGGCTGATGGTTGCTTTGTTGGTAATTGACGATGTGTCGCTTTAGGGGGTTCATTGTAGATGGGAGAGGCCAAGCCCAGTCAGGGCTGAAAGCCCTAGTCTGGGACTCGGTACGGACGACAGGGGGCTGAAGTGTTGACGCTGACTGAAGGCCTTGGACGATGTGACTGCCCACACGCACTTGCTAGCCCGCTGACTAACGAAACCCGCGACGATGACAAGGGTGAGGGTTATGGGTGAAGGGATGGATGGTGAACGTAGAGCGGGCGGGCGGGCAGGCCAGCGGGCGTGAGTGCAGGCAGGTGTCGGGGCGGGCTGGCTGGCGAGCAGCTGGTGGTAGGAGTAGTTAAGGGGCTGATAATGCTATATGAGAACAGCACGATGAGTTTGGAGCAAGCAGCTCATGTGGCTGATGGCTGGTAGTAGTAGTGGACACCGGAGCCTGGAATTGGGTCAGTCAAAAAATCATCATGTGAATCGGCAGATAATGGCCAACACCTGGTTACCAACACTACTCTAATATATTTAGAGGTTTTAAATTGCCCTTAATAATGTCATCAAATGGGTACATGTATATCACAAATGAACATTAATCTGTTTAACGAGGATTTTCTAGTCTGCCTACAAAACACAAATGGTTCTCATGCACTAGTCTATTTCTTACATCAACAAAAGCTTAGAACAGCATACAGGCATGTTGAGCGAGTGAATTGGGTTTATTGCCGCTTTGAACAGTATTCCAGTTATATATCGGCCTGTCTGTGTAATGTGGGAGGAAAGCCCAAAGCGATGTAATCTCTGATGTTTACCATTTAGGTGAAGCTCCAGAGCATGGGTATGGTGCTGGCAAACCTAGAAACATAAACCGGGATTCAAACCAATGATCACAGGTTTCTGGCATGCCCTAGAGATGCAATTCTACAGACTGAATTGCAGTGCCTTAGATGACTGGGCCACCCCAAAGCCTCCACATGCATGCAGAAGCCATAAGGGCTCTGATGGAAAAAAAAACAATCCACTCTAGCATCACCATAGACCCACATCCTTAATCTATGTTTTAAAAGCGTAAGAAAATAAACCTGGATGCTAGAATGATATATTTGAGTGGACCAAAAGCAAAAACAACTTTAAAATTGCAGTCAATGGCAGAAAAGGGAAAATGTATATTTATTACAATATGACCAAAATGAGAAATAATTTAAGGAATAAATTTGGCACAGAGAAAATTAAACTGATCACCAATAAAAAAAATTCAAGCAAATGTGCTATTTACAAGAAAGTGCAAGGCTGAATATGATAATGTTAATACCACTGACTCATTAAGTTTCATCATAAAAGTAATGCCCTCCTAATCTTTAAGTCCTTCGATACACAGTATTAAGTACATAAGTTCTGTGATTGAAAACTTGCACTTTCATGTAACAAATTTAGATAAAGGATGAAAATTAAGGAAAAATTCTCAATTTTGATACTCACAAATATTGATCAATTACACACAAGTTACATGTACACAAGACGTCAAGACATGGTGATCTGTGATATACCAAAATATCAAAACATCATCACTACATTTTACGCAAGTATTCAAACAATTCGAAAGATTTAGATACAATTTCTAAATTCATATTGATCTAAAACAGACTATGCCAAAGTGTTTTTAAACGGAGACTATACAATATAAACAAAATAATATGATACATAGGGATGTATAAGAACCGAAATTCCCCCCAAACGTGCAGCCAGTGCAATTAGCATCACAGGGTCCACCAACAATAGGTTCCTTTAAACCAAAACTACAGTTTGAGGGATTTCTATCTATTATTATTCCATGAAGAATACTATTATTACGAAATACTGCTTAAAAGTGCTGATAATCAGTGTGACAGTGTGAAATAAGATTTGCTTTAATTAGACTTGCAACAAAACATTTTAGCAGTCACCAATAAACATGAAAATATGACATGAAACACTTGTCAGGTATTAATTTTGTGGTTCCAATTACAATTGAGTTCCAAAGCAATAACCAGCATTAACTCCAGATGAAATAATAGGCCCAAAAGTATGTGCCATGAATTTGAGACAAATTTAAAAAACATTGGTTAGGGACAGCAATGGGTCAGAGTGTAACTGGAACCACATAATATTGACAAAATACAATGTAATACAATATTTCACCTGAACATCAGAATCAAACTTGTTATTGTTCACATACAAAATATGCTTAAATCATTTTATAAACATTTTCTTTTTTTAATTTGGATGAAAATACTATGCAATACCAATAAGTTAATTTTAGAAGGAATTTGAAGGATGTTTCATTTCCCCAAATGATGCAGTAAGAATATAATTACCTTTCTATATTGAAAGAGGTAGAAAACTCACCTTGATCTGCCTCTCCTTGGTCGGTAGTCATCATAAGAAGAACCTTGACGTCCAACTGGCGGTCCTCGACTTCCCCATCGAGACTTTCCTGATGACATTTCAACACGCACACGACGACCATTCATTCTCCTGCAGAAATCAACTTAGCATCTTAGCAGCTAATGAATGTTAAATATATGATAAAATGCACATTGTGATGTACACTCGAAAAGAAGTCCTACTTATCCATCCAATATACTTGATGTATGACATGTATCATGACTTCTTTTTAGTTCTAACAATGTCTAAAATAAAAAATGGGCTTGACCTGTAAGAAAACTTTTCACTATTTCTGAGTTAACATATCCCACTTTTCCAAATTTCAAATACCAAAGATGATGTTTGAATATACATCCCACATGATAGAAGTAAAGCAGCAGATTAGTAGATCCTGGTCTGCCTAAGGGATACAACTTTGAGCAGTGTATTAGATAACTGAAGCAACTGACACCATGATGCTTGCACTTTCTAAGATTGCCAACTGAAGAGGCTTGAAAAGTTGAAAGTTGAAAGAAAATCATCAACAAGTGACATGAGTGCAATGACATTTAACCATCACTTACGCTCCATCAAGGGCTCTAGTGGCATCTTCAGCATCACGGGGATCTTCAAATTCAACAAATGCAAATCCTGGAGGCTTCCTGGCTACCCACACATTACGCAAAGGTCCATATTTACCAAATTTCTCTTCAAGTTCCTGCTTAGCTGCACCATAACCAAGATCTCCAACATACACTTTGCAATCTAGTCTCCAATCTTTCGTTGCATTCCGTGCCATTATGTTTATATAGTACTGAAAAGAAATACAAATATTTACACTGGCCTGGTCTATACATTTAATAACACGGCAATGATTTTCATTTTTGGTCCGTCTTTGGTTGGTTGTGAATTGTTTTTAATCAAAGTGCAGGGTATGTATCATAATGGAGATATATGGTTTTATTGGTACTGGTATCCTCTCCAAAAAAAATCCCAACAGTGACGAATCTACCGTCTATGCTAGTGTCAGTGTACATTCTGTTGACATATATCATAACAGCCTGATTTTTATCAGGGTTTTACCCGTCGCACAAATATAGAGAATGGATGTAGAAAACATATATATCAATCTATCTTTATTTCACATACTTTAAGGCCACATGCCTATAGTACATTACAAATTGAACAAGTAATGGGTGTCTTGCAAAGATTTTCTAAAATTCATAGTGTGAAGTTTAATAGAATTGCTAAACTTAAAAACATATATACTGCATCCGTGGTGGCACGTGGTCCTGTGCAAAGTGTACTGGTCACAAATCAGGAGAGCAGAGAGTCCCTGGATGGGTGACTGCACCTCAGCAGCTTGGCTCCTGAGAGTTTCTAGAGCCTCCGTCCTGCCCTAGACTGAAGTATGTTTGTTTGTTTGTCGTTTAACGCCGCATTCAACAATATTACACCTATATGAAGGCGGGCTGTAAATAATCGAGTCTGGATCAGACAATTCAGTGATTGGCATCATTAGCATCGATCCACGCAATTAGGATACGATGACATGCATCAACCAAGTGAGCGAGCCTGACCACCCCATCCCGTTAGTCGCCTCTAACGACAAGCATAGTCGCCTTTTATGACAAGCATATTCTAGCCCGGATCTTCAAGGGTCCTGAAGTATGTAACACTTATGGTGTCTCCTTGGGCAAGTGCCTCTCTTCACCCAGCAGTGAATGGGTACCCGGTACAATGAGTGGTTGTTAACCTTCTAGTGCCTAACTGCCAGCTTAGGTTGTATACACCCCAGGGAGCTGAGAATGATTCTTGAGTGCACACTGACCGGGGTAATAATAGCGCTTTGAGCATGCCCCTGTGTGTTGTTGAAATATGCACGATCAATCATGACCACTGTCCCCATGAACACTGATCCATTTCCAGCTCTAAAGTAATTATCTAAATGTACAGTACATTAAACCATACGTTACTTTACAGGACCCTCATATTGCCTGCAAGAACCCTTAAAACTTATTATTGGGGGTCCACAGGTGGTCAAGGTGACCTTTATGAAGCTTTCTTTGTAAACACTAACTGATAACCTCCAAGCTTCCTCTGCTCTGTGTTTGTTTAAGAGAAAAGTCTGGTCACGTGATAAGCCTACACCCACTGGTGTGGTCACTGCAGCAGAACATTCTATCATTGAATAAGACGAGCAGAGCAGAGGTCCCTTTAATCATCTTGCTTGACATCACATGAAATCTTAGTACCAACTTATGTCATGTCAGGTTAGTTGTGATTATGGGCCTGGGTATGATATTTTACCTATTTTCTCCATCCTATTCCCCTGAGCTACGCTCCACAAAGTGATCCTTATAATAGCGCTACGACTATCGTAAGCAAACGTCAAGTATGGCGTTAACACCTTAGCGCTAAGATCTCTTTGTGGAACGGGGGCTTTAGACATCTCCCCTAACTTTATGGCCTAGATTACGTTTGCTTTTCGGCCGGGTAATTGAAACGCAAAAAAAGCTACAGATGAAGTACAATGCACCTCAATCAAATGTAGTGAAAGTTAAACAAGAATAGTCTCTGAAACCTCACTGAAGAGCGAATATTTATGAACACGTCCCATGTCAAGTTGACCCTAGGTGGCCATGACAGAGAAGTCTATCCATTTGTTTCTAAAACACATGAATAGGTAAATGGGGCCGGTAAAGGTTCGTCGCAGATAGTTACCTTTCTATCAGCGGCGTCACTGGGTGTCAGCACTCCTTCCTTATCGCATCTAAACTGATCGCCTGAAACTAGCGGTATCATGGCCGATAAACTAATAAACTATATAGGTATATGCTACCGTCTTACTACATCTGTTAGAATTCCTGCACTTCAGCAATACAAGGCAATGCACCAAATGCAACACTTCTGCAAATATATGCTTCTACTTACCTTATTTTCAAAAAAATGTATAGGCTTACTATCTAACACACTATACTGCTGTCAAAACATGCAGACAGCTTTTCGACGTGTTTTGGCCTTATGAATACTATTCCGCACAACAGCGTTCCTTCTATTTTGATTGGTCGATTTTCGTGTGTCGCGCTTCACAGCCGCTATTTGTAAACAGACCCTGCTCAAAGCAGCGAAATACACATAATGTCGGAAAGCGTTAAATCCCCAACAATATGTAAGTAAAAGCGATGACTGAAAATGTTGTTATGGCTAATGGTCAATACATAACAAACAGTTCTCAATACATATTGGTAATTTACGAGAGAAAAGCAGGGTACAGAGTCCGAGGGTGCACGCTACTGGTCGCTACAAACGTCACCGATTTCATCGGGCGAAAACGGCATCTTATATTTGTAATAAACATAGAAAAAGATTTATGTAGTAGATAGAGCGCTCTAGTATATATACTATATTCATTGGTAACAATGACCCTTCTTTTTGTCACCACATTTCCATACAGCACAAATGTCATTGTCATCTGACATTGTCACATCACATTTCTTCCCCGGCATTCACAAATGGTCCAAGGAGAACAGCTGGAGAAATGGGTCGGCATCTGTGAGAACCTAAATCCCTGCAAAATGTCAAAGATCTTGTCCTGCCCACAGATCGATGATTACTTCACATAGACCCGGAGTAACTTTTAATCTCTGAAAATGTATAAGTTTGATAGAAACAAATAACTCCAGAAAAGGAGACCCAGTGTGATGAGAGATTCAGAACCTGCAAAAAATCTAGACTTGCTTCACTTTAGAACTTACAGCACTACAGTAGGGGAAGGGCGGAATTAAGGGAACTGTGAGACAATATCTAGCTCGGAGAGAAGACTTGCCTCTCGGAACAGATCCTAATAGAATCTTATAAATTACCGAGTTTTTTTCCACTGGGTATAGTTGTAACAATATTAAGTAATATCATATTACCTAAATACAAATGTAGTAAAATAGACAAATCTCTCAAGAACCCATCCGGCCGTATTCAACTTCTTCAAACCACACACACACACCCCTACGAATACTACAACGAACTTCTCAGGCAAATTTTCGTACTTGTAGACTTGCCATGGTAACATATGGGCAAACCAAAAAAATGACTGACATATTTATCGATCGGGCCCATGCAGGTAAACACATTTAGACAGGTCTTCAGCAACCCATGCTTGCCGTAAGAGGCGACTAACAGGATCGGGTGGTCAGACTCGCTGACTTGGTTGATGCATGTCATCTTATCCAAATTGCGTGGATCGATGCTCATGATGTCAATTAATGGATTGTCTGGTCCAGACTCGAATATTTACAGACAGCCGTCATACAGTTGGCATATTGCTGAGTGCGGCGTTAGACAACATACACACATACACGCAAAATAATTACGGAAACACGTGTTACAAAACCAAACACACCTGTTCCAGACTTTAATATTACCACTGACACGTGCCGTTACTGACCTCTTTTGGCATAAAGGAACTCAACCACTGGTCTCTTATTATATGCAACACAAGGCCAGTTAAGCCAGTAAATCGAAGGAGCCAATCCGAACATCGTTACTTGAGTATGCACACACGTTTAACCTCTGTACACAAGGTGGACGTATTGATAAACTACGCAGGTACTATTGCTTGATGGAACAGCTATACACTGTAACAGATGGTGTCTGATGCTGGTGCTTGTTAAAGGCAAAGACCATATACCGGTATATGGTCTCAGTTAAAGGGGACTGTGAACTACGGACCGGAGCCGATCGTCGCAGTGCAATACGTACGCCGGATGCCTTGAACAGTTGAACTGTATTATGTGATGCCAGTATTGAATATTAATATGTATGGTTTCCTTCTTCTTGCAAAGGTTGACAAATCAATAAAATATTTAACTCTAAGCTTATGAGCACGCATGGTCATGCATTCTATATGAAATCCCAGTCATATTTACCGGTGCAATGCAGCTGTTAGTCTTGCACAAGTCTCTAAAACAATAATTATTAGTTTATAACATAAGTTCTAGATTATGTAAATAATAAGAACAAGTTGTCCCTATAGAGACTGAAGTCCTTATACTGTTCTCATTTCAAGACTTGCCTATTAGGAGCTAGGATATAATTACTACACACCCATGGACATTTCTTCAGTACAGCCTTGGAGCAAGACCATGCAGCTGTGTACACTTCTATATGACTCATGAGTTCATTAATTGGATGTCAAGATAAACTAAACAAGTGATATGCAGGGTGCCAAGAGTGTGGTCTGGTATCCTCTGAATGGGGTAATCATGAACTAGTGATGCGCTTCGGAAAAAAACGGAGGTGGGGTGAAATGGGGTTTAACGTTGCGCTCAATATTATATTTCACTGATAGGCAGGACAGATATTAGACAGTATGTATGTACACAGCTCTTGTACTAGTTTGCACTTATGCCGGTTTTGTGGTTACTAGTCCACAAAAATACCATGCCTAAATTTAACACGGATACCCCTCTCAGACACGTTATGCCGTCGGACTCCGTGTCGGCCAATACTTGTTTTATTAAATATACCCGCTAATGCCGAGACCCAGGCAGGCTAACAATAAATACCATAGTTTAATGTTTGGTGCGACGCGACCAGTGGATTAAACAACCGACCTTCCGATCTCCGGGCTCAGGCTCTCTCCACTAGACCACGGAGGCGGTCCCATGTGTACGAGGTTCTGATGATGCATAGTGCATAATATTGCTGAGTGAGTGAGTGAATTGGGCGAGACGCGTCACTGAACAATAGTTACTGTTATATTAATGGGGATAAATTCAAAATATATCCTACTTGCTACAGGGTAAGTGGCACTTAAGTGAACGTTAGTGAAGAAAATGTATGATTTCTGCTCAGAAAATCCACTTGTCGGGTACAAGAAAACAACACAGATTTGGTCTCATAATTCTACATGGTAGGACGTGGGTCAATTTGAGAAACCTTTATTATACAAATCCCATAATGTATGAGGACTGCACAGAGTCACTCCTGTTGTAGATGTTTACCACTCCATGCAGTGACATCCTCGAGTACAGTACAGAGTAATGTAGATGTTTACCACTCTAGTGATGCCCTCGAGCACAGCACAGAGTAATGTAGATGTTTACCTCTCTAGTGATGCCCTCGAGCACAGCACAGAGTAGTGTAGATGTTTACCACTCTAGTGATGCTCTCCAGCACAGTACAGAGTAATGTAAATGTTTACCACTCTAGTGATACCGTCGAGCACAGTACAGAGTAATGTAGATGTTTACCACTCTAGTGATACCCTCGAGCACAGTACAGAGTAATGTAAATGTTTACCACTCTAGTGATGCCCTCGAGCACAGTACAGAGTAGTGTAGATGTTTACCACTCTAGTGATACCCTCGAGCACAGTACAGAGTAATGTAGATGTTTACGACTCAAGTGATACCCACGAGCACAGCACAGAGTAATGTTGATGTTTACCACTCTAGTGACACCCTCGAGCACAGCACAGAGTAATGTAGATGTTTACCACTCCAGTGACACCCTCGAGCGCCGCACAGAGTGGTGTTGATGTTTACCACTCTAGTGATACCCTCGAGCACAGCACAGAGTAATGTTGATGTTACCACTCTGGTGACGCCCTCTAGCACGGCACAGAGTAATGTTGATGTTACCACTCTGGTGACGCCCTCGAGCACAGCACAGAGTAATGTAGATGTTTACCACTCTAGTGATGCCCTCGAGCACAGTACAGAGTAATGTTGATGTTTACCACTCTGGTGATGCCCTCCAGCACAGTACATAGTAATGTAGATGTTTACCACTCCAGTGACACCCTCGAGCGCAGCACAGAGTGGTGTTGATGTTTACCACTCTAGTGATGCCCTCCAGCACAGCACAGAGTAGTGTAGATGTTTACCACTCTGGTGATGCCCTCGAGCACGGCACAGAGTAGTGTAGATGTTTACCACTCTAGTGATGCCCTCCAGCACAGCACAGAGTAGTGTAGATGTCTACCACTCTAGTGATGCCCTCCAGCACAGTACAGAGTAATGTAGATGTTTACCACTCTGGTTACACCCTCGAGCACAGCACAGAGTAATGTAGATCTTTACCACTCTGGTGACACGCTCGAACACAGAGTAATGTAGATGTTTACCACTCTAGTGATACCCCCAAACACAGTGAAGAGACCCTATGATGGGTGAGGTGAAATGTGGTTTAACGTCACATTCAAAATTAGTGCATTCGTATAGCTGCGTGCATGAACGTGTGTTTTGTGCCTGATTGTACTAGTCTGGACTTATGCCAGTTTCAAAGTGCTAGCTCATTGAGATACCACGACGCAGTTTAAATGGATACCCTACTCAGACACATTATGCTGAATCTCTGAGCCGACCAGTTCTTGCATAACCTTACCGCCGAGCGCCAGACAAAAAGGATAGTATTTTTAGTATCTGGTATCATCTCAAGCTACACCCACCTCACACCACCCCCGCCACCCTCTTTCCCCTGGCCGCGCCATACTACAATACGTAAACAAGCACTGGTCGGCTCACTGTCATCATAAGTGCCTGGGTGTGGCATCCATGGCATCCACAAACACTAAGAAATCATCAGCTACACCCATCCCACAAACACCTTCACAATCCTCCACATCACATGCCTCCCCCATGGAAACTCAATCAGCTAAACCTAATCTAACCGATGACGAAGATTTCTCCACTACTGAGGAAACAATAGACACTACTCCAACTAAAACAAACCAAACTCCCCAACCAGCCAACACCCAAAACCTAAATAACCTCACCTTACTCCTAGCATACATGCATAGTCAAAACTCACCAAAAGCTAGCATGAAATCCTTCTACAAAGTAGCTTTCAATCTAAAATTAACCGATCTTCCCTTCTTCCTCTTTAACCTCCATCTAAAAGAACTCACCGAATA